GATCTTTAAATATAAAATTATCTGATTATAAGTGCAGTTTACTTGACGACATTGTTGAATTACTGATAACAGCCAAGGGTCATGCATTTTGACAGATCCATTGCCATTGTTCTGCGGGGACCAGCAGCAACATTCAAAGGTATTGTTAGGGCTCTGGAAGTACTCGGTGAACTACGGACCTGGACAGTGCATGTGCCTGTGTGTGTGCACACCGCAGGTTGGCACGTTGTTTGTGAACTGGAAAAAGAAAAAAAAAAACCACACGCACACAAACAGCTGATTGAGCTGTGTCAAAGTGCCTGTCATTTATCATGATCGCAACGATTTCTCATTGCACTTTCCTCAAGGAAACTCCAGGAACAGTTGCGTGAATGCCAGCAGTACGTGTAAGACCTTGGCTATTGTACCGGTAAGAAAATGAAATCTGCCGCCAGTACCATACGTTGCAGGATGTTTAATGTTTGTGTTCATGTACGTTCGTGCATGTACTGCCACATGAATAGAACCGGGTGAATGCACATTAGGGTACATTGAGGTACATGTACGAGTACATGTACATTGAGATATTTTTGTAGAGTTGTCATCTGAAGGGGGGTGTTTACCTGGAAGGGCTGAAAGGAATCATTACATTAAGTCATAGCCGAGGGAAAATGAACCTTAGCTACGTACATGTAAGTGTTTTATGGTACATGTTTATGGATGCATATGGCACTTCCAGCAGTCAAGCACAGATTACAAATTAAGTACAATGTATGAAAAAAGTGTACATGTACGTACCGGTAGGCTTATACATTAAGTGTACATACTGCACATTTGTGCCTGTAACTGAATCTTAATTCAGCTGTTTGTTGAAATTTGCGGAGTGGAACCCCACTGGCACAGTAGTGTGTATAAACTTGTTTGTGTGACTTTGTAACCTGGAAAAGATATTGGTAGTGTGTGAGTTTATTTTTCATGCACTGTAATTTGCAGTTACACCAACAGATATTTACGGAGGGAGCATGTACAAGAATAAGTTACTTTAAAGACAATTCATATGAGGTGCAAGTGTGTACATGTGTACATGTAGGTACATGTAGCAATTGGTTTTGTTGCCCTGACAATTTTGACTCGTTGTATATGCCAGGGAGATACATACATGTACATGTACGTGTACTGGTACTTACTAGTACTACATACTCCATGCACTTTCAGGACCTCATTACATACCAGTAGCACACATGTGCTGTATGTGATACATGTACATGTACACGTACATATGTACATTTTGTATATGCAGCTCGCACATGTACATGTACCGTACTGTATGCACATGAGCACTGCATGTACATTTACATGTACCGTAGTTAACAGGAAAATAATGGAAGCAGTTGTTTTGTAAGAAAACATTCAGCTCCCTACATTTAGGTCCTGGCTTGGATTGTTTGGGCTATCTTGTCAAATGTACCGGCACAGGTATTGAGAGCCATCTCCTTCCATGTTACATGTACTTAGAGTAGTATAATTTATGTACTCTACAAGTCTCCTTTCAACTGAAAATCTATAGAGATACTGTACTTTTACTGTATATCAACAGAAATGGCCAAACCTGTAAATTAACCCTAATCCCCTACATGTAGGGCCATTTTGCTGGGGCACATCCTCAGTCTTTCAAACTCCTCCGATTGCCTTGTTTCCCCAAAAGGCATTTGTCTTTAATCCTCTCAAATCCTCTATTATTTCTTGAATGCTCCTCAAAGTGGTGACTGCTGCCTCAATCCAATCCTTCCAATCCTCTGGCAATGTCTGTCATTAATATGTTGAGGCGGTGTGAGTGGTATCCGTGAGCATTACAGATGATTGAACGTATAATTTATGCATGGCATAAACAACACAAGGTCTAACCCAAGACCTTGACACAACAATTTTTCCTTCACGATCACCCACACTTCTGTTTTTGTTTTTTTGTTTGTTTTTTGTGGTCATTCATGCCTTGGTCCAGTTGCAGGTCCAGTGTTGTGTTAGTTGCTCATCTTTTAGGAGCAAGGGCAATTTATGATGTAAGATAAAATCCTTATTAAAATTGTCCAGTGTTAAAAAAGAGGTGGGCAACAGGAAAGCATGTGCAAAGAGGATACACGTACTGTACTGGCTTGCTGGTTTCTTTCATTAACCCTAACTCCCTTGAGCGTGTGTAAAATCATCTCGAAATTTCTTTCACCATGATTAGGGATACTGGATGAGCCACTGGACCAGGAGTCCATTGACTGGTAACAAAAATTCAAACCCTTTGAATGCAAGCGTATTTCCTTTTTTTTTTTTTAAACAGGACTTCAGATTTTTTTCCCTTTAATTTTGTACGATTTCTTCCATTTTCAACATTCTGAACTGTAGTCATTATACTTTGGGGTGTCTGCAGGTTGCCTCTTCCTGCAAGCTCTCCTTTTACCTGTCAGGATCATGCCAGTGTGAACTCAGATGTGCTTTGCACACGGAGTTACATGCAAGTTGCAGGGACAGGTGTGGACCACATGTTTTACTCCAGTGTGGGGACCAAAACTGCTAGGGGGACATACAGAACCCCTCAACCCTGTCCAAATTTTTCTGATAACAATCTTCCCTGTTTGCTTGCTCTGTGCCACAAGTAAAAATCTAGCGGTAGGACACAAATTTATACAGTACATGTACCTTACATGTACATACACATTTCACAGGCTACCTGTACATTAGCATGGACGGTATATTTGCATCCGTGGCATTATATATCCAGTCATTATCGGTACTGTACTGGTACTTAAGGACCAGTAGTGTCCTCACCTGATGATAATTTTTGCATGATAATGATGATCAATGTACCAGTAGGGTCTTGATTGACATTGGCTACACTTTTGGGTGCCTTCTCAATGGCTGAGTATTACTGGTGGCAGTGATCTGCCATGGTGTGTGAGTAAAGCACATGTACATGTATAGCCTACATTGTACACAATATACATTGTACTGGTATACATATATTTGCATTGTACATACCGATACATGCTTGTTCATGTACATGTACCAGTATAGTATACGTGTGCATGAAAACAGTTGTAATTGAAAGCAATTAAATTGATGTGTGTTATGTACATGTACAGTACATTGTTCTGCCATGAATCCTGTTACTGTAGTAAATTATTCTGTCCACACACACCAGTCCACACATGTACATACATGTATGCAGTCTACTGTATACTGATGGCAATATATGTACACTGTACAGGTGATTTTGCTTGAATACACTTGACCTTGTTCGTATCTGCATCTTTTCATACCGAAATAAAAATTGCAGCTAGGGTGTATTTTCTTGCGTAATTTGCAGACTTTTCATGGTCATTGAGACCTTGTACAATGACACCCACCGGTATACCCTGACATCTTCTTCGTACAGTACATGTAGTTCATACCGCATGCTTTGCAAACTGTGTTCTGATGTTCCACCCTTTGAGTAGTCACAACCAAGCAATAAATGGCCAAGGTCCTTCTCTGGAGGAGAAATTGTCCTTAGTTGCATAATGTGTCAGGTCATTGCTTTTTTTCTTTTAACAGGCACATGCATGTGCCACCCTGAAATTGTGAAGTGAGTTAGGATTTACATTCTAGTGAATTTCTCTTTTCACATGGTTTCTGTTATGTTATCTGTACAGGTTTGTTTTTATTTCGGTTTGTCATTTTTTTATACCTGCTAATGAAGCTGAAAAAGCTGTACTGTGTTTGCCTTCGTCCTCCCACCCATTGGCCAGTTTTCCCCCTTTAACTTGAGAAGAACTTGCTATTTTGGGCTCCAAACCTTACTTTCAGTTTTTTTCTTTGTGGCTTTAAACAATTACATGTACATATAATTTATTACAAATCCTAAATTATTTTAAACAAAAACTGGCATGAATTTCTGTTAAGTTTTATTTGTTGCTCGTTACTCTCAGGTTCCCAAATGAAGAGGTTTACATGTACGTGTACCTGATGTTCAATTCAAGATTGCCAACACAAATACAGTGAATACAGTCTTATTAATTAGGGATCCCATATGTCAAAGGTCAAGGATATTATGGTTAAAAACAGTGCAACTGGTTGTTCCCAACAGAGACAGTTTTTGTGATCACAACTTAAGGTCACAGGTTTAGACATAGGCATGGCTGGGTATTTGTGATATTTAACACACCATTCTCATTTTCGCTCTGTTTTGGCCAAGCTAATGAACCATGTACCAGTACAAGAACCTTGTCAATGGCAGGATGCACTTAATCTTCTTGTGTCTGCTTACCAGGTGTATTTTGTATGTACGCTGTACATGTAATTAATGATTAACAAAATGTACAATGTTTGTATCGTTTAGAATGTCACTTTGAAGTTGTACAGGTATATTTGGTGAAAAGGAGAAAAGGATGTTTATTTAAGCTGTCTTGTATTTATCCTTTTGGTTTCACATTTGTTGGGAAAGCTTTGAACTTTGGGCATTCAAATGAATGCATGAGGAGGGGAACTGTTTGCATAGTTGCACACTTCACTGTTTTGTGTTAAATACTGTGGAATTAATCTTCATCACTGTTAAAGTGAAGTTAAACTTTACTGTATACAAATTTGTATGTGACTCCGTTATCCAGTTTTAAAGAAACTTAGGGATCCTACCAAGCCTTTTCTCTATGTTGTCTTTTGACATAAAATAAAAATAAAAACAACAACAACAAAATTTAACAGTTGTTTTGGCCTTGTTGTCACACCTTATTTCAGCAAAAAGGGCATCAACATGTACCAGGTATATGTGTCTCTTGGACATTTTCCACAAGTGCATGTACAAGCAATTTAAAACCGTTGCAACTTGGCTCACCTGTGTTTTTTTCACCTCAGTCGAGGCAGATTTGGATACCCAGTGCTGGTTGAAATGCTGTTGACACAAAGATCATTTCAAACTTGATATGCCTCCCTAACCTTATGGAAACAAGTGTCTGTCCCAAGTTACATGAATCTACCATTTCTTATCCATTTTACAGATTCTGCTGACGTTTACTTTGACACGAGAACCAAGGCAGTGCTAACTCAGACATCACATAACTCAATGGCGAACGTCAAGGAACAGGTAATGCATTAACATAATCAGGTGTGCAAGTTTTTTGGTCAGGAAGCAGAACCACTCATTTTGGAGAGTTTGTGGCATATGAATGTACACGTTGTCACAGGTTGAGAAGGCTCGCGCATTAGACTAACATTTGCTCTAGCCTATTTAATGGTTGTATGGGTCATACAGAGCTGAAAGAGTCCTTTGTATGAAACCTTTCGACGTTCCTTGTAGGCTAAGTATAAAGTATATTGTAAAGTGCACTTTTTAACACATTTCAAGTTGTCCATGCTTTCCTGGTCAAGTGTGGGCACTGTTGCTGTGATATCAACCAGAGAAGAGACTGTTGATTTTAAACATTTTTCTGTTAGTATTGTGAAACTAAACTTTGCTTATTTGGAAATATCTTGAGAAAAGGTTACTTATTAGTTTATCAGTAAAGACAAAAAAATTAGGCCATTGAAATATGAAAAATTCCAGCGTTTGTTGTGCCTAAATCAGTGCAATATTGAGGTTTTCCTCCAGAGATGAAATCACAGTGTTTCTCCTGAATATGGGAAATCTTGTTCTGTTTACATACAGTCCAGAAAGGGGCTAAAATAACCTTTGAAATAGCAAAACAAACAGTGATCAGTTGAAGCACAAAGGTGCAGCACCACATATGTAGGCAATTGTGTTTCTTGTTTGAGCAATGCTAGCACAGTTTACATGGCTTCTGCTTGTTTTCATTCCCAAAAGTGTACCGGGTACCAGTACTTCTCATGTACATGTACATAGCTGCATGCACATGTAGGAATGGTAGAGATAACAATGCGTCTCAGTGTCAATCTGTTCCCCGGTCAGGCACGTGTCCTGGCAGTAGATTCCTTAATGTCTTAATCCATTCCCTGCTAATTCAACGCGTACATGCTGACACTTTGCAGTTTCAACTCAGTCAGGTTCAAGCATGGGGTAAACTGACAGGTTATTGTAAAATTCATGTAGAATCAGCCCAAAATCTATCGCTGTTGATTGCACAATGTTTTTGCAGATGGACAACTCTTCCCTCTTCAACTTGCAATTTTTATCCCCCCAAGGCCAGGGTTCAACTGGTCAATTTTGATCCAGTGTTTGTTGTGCATACACTGTACATGTACAAGTACTGTAGTACAGTACATATGATCACTTCCAATTTGGACTGCTCTTACAGAAAAGAATACCGGTACCGATATTAAATAAGCCGAGATGAGTTTGATTAAATAAGTAAGAGTAGTTCTCACTTGTTCTGTCTGTAATTTCTGAGAGCCTACCGGGTACATGTACTGCAGTATGAAGTAATCCCAGAAACATTCAAAAGTTCTTTTTAGTGGTCACACTGATTACCTAGTGTTTCACTTCACATTCACGTTATTGAAATTGGAAAACACTGTACAAAGTCTCGTGAAGATTGGGATTTCCTCATTTTTTTTTTCAAAGTCCAAGTTGCGTGCCTGATACCGGTAAATAGAAACGAGAATTTTCCGATGATTTTGTTCATGAGTACTTTTGCAGCTTCTTGGACACAGATTTTTTTGCTGAGAACAAATCCCCTAGTACATGTATTTCCTATTAGGCTGATCAATGTGGATTTGGGTTCACGATGATCGACAAAATCGATACTTAATGAACCTTGTAATGTTTGTCAAATATGCCCGCTCACAGCTGCATCAGCTTTTATTATTGATCAGCAGTTTGTTGAGTAGTTCCTGTGCCCTCCCATTATGTTTCTAATGGATTGTCCTGACATGAAATGATCCAGTCCAAGTTCACAGTGGGATGAAGAGAAAGCAGAAGGTTATAACGCCATGCCAATTTTGATCAATAAAAATGAGAACACGTGTTGGAGACTAATCATGGAATTCAAAAGTTATTTTGAGTCTAGAAAGGTCACGGCAGAAACATGAAGCATGAATACTGTGAAAGTTGGTGGTTGGAATAAAATGGGAAACAGCCTACACGTGGGTGTGTGTTTATTGATGTACTGTACGTGCAGTTGGAGCAAAACAGTTTTCCTCAATTTTTTCGCTGTTTGAAATAGTTTTGCTAACTTTTTCGTGAAGTCAAACAAATTGTGTCTCAAATTAATGTTCACAGTGTGTACTTCAGTTAAAAATATTCAGACATTTATTATGGATCAAACATTAATATTTCTGAAAAATTATTTTGTGAAAATTGACATTTACCCCCTTATTGTTGTTCAAAAACACTTCAGTAAGTGGTCCACTGCGACTATGAGATGTAACAAAACATACAGAAATTGTTTTTGTGTAAATGTACAAATGTAAATGTGAATCTCTGGGTGTTGTTATTTGATGCAAACACCATGTACATTAAGTAGAAACCCATCTTGTCTGTCCTCATGAAAAGGAAAGTTGGTAGGAATGAGCGAAGTTGTGAAATTTGAGGAAAATGGTTTTTGTTTTACAAGGTGTACATGTATGTAAACTTTTTGCCCCAACTGTCTGTATACAATGTACTGTATAGTGGCGTACATGTACCTTAAGCTCTCAGAGAACTTTGTGCAAAGATCGTAAAGGTTATGTATGCTGCAAAAGTTTGAATGTGTCTGAACTGTTAACCTGTCTCGGAATTTGTCTAAAAATCTTTCATTTCCTCACGACATTGAAATGATAGGAGACATGGATTGAAATGTTTCTGTTTTACCATTGACATGTACACGTACAGTGTACATATGTACTTACATGTATGTGCAATGCACATGTGCCACAGTAATGAACCACAGCTACCGGTAGGAACTGACTGAGACAGTAACTACGGTAACATAATGCCTTAGATAATACAGGGTTTGCATGGCCCTCATCTCGGCAGAGTGTTTGTGTTATGCGGGGTATGCACAGAAAAGGTTTCCCAATGGAAACAAAAGAACTTCCCTACATGTACGAGATGGCTACTACGCAAAGCCGCCTACAACAGTAAATTGTGGCTGCTTTAAGTAAGTATTGGTAAAATAATGGAAACTTTTCTTGGCCTTGTCCCCCTTCTGCAGCTTGCTAGCGTACGGGAGGTTGTACCTCACCGCAAGAAGGAAGACATACTGCTTGTCCTGCAGCACTTTGATAACGACGTGCCCAAGACAATCCAAGCTTTCATGGAAGGTACGACGACTTGTAGTCAATCTGTTTTCAGGGAATTTATCAATTTTGTAGGGTGTGGTGGTGAGCTGGACTGGCCAGGTGAGAGCTGCTACTGGTACATGTATATCCACACAAAAGTGGAAAATGTGTGGACATTTATTTAACTTCCCCTGTGTGTAGTGCGTCATCACAAAAAGTTTTGTATACGTGTAGCTTGGATTTTTTTTTCTGACTGAGCAAGTGCGTGCCTTTTTCCTGAAAAAAAAGGTGTTTCCACCTTGGTTTCCCTCATAACACTGGTTGAACTGCAGATTATATGGGCTGAGGTTTTGAGGTACCATACTTGTCAACTACATGTAAGGACTAAGCAGTGTAGATAACTGTTTCTTTTGATTAACATCTGCAAAGCTGGTTGAATTCATTCACCTACAGTACACATAGCAATAAAACCTCAACTCTGTTCTTCAGAACCAATGAAGCGAATAAGCCCAAAGCTTCCTAAATCCCCCATAATCTTCCTTGCATGCAAAGTGTAAAGCCAACAGTTCGAACGTAAAAATATTTATATATAAAAGAAAAGGAATTACTGGAAATGAATAAAGATAATGTACGCTATTGAATATGAAATTAAATAAGTTACAGGAATAAGCAATTAATGATAACGACACAATAAATATGGCATCATAAATACAAAATAATACATACATTTGTAAGAAAACAGTAGGTAAGTGCACAGTAAATGTAATAAAAGTCTAATGGGTAATTGGCAAAACAGGAGGCTGAAATAGTACTGAAAATGAGAAGAGACTTGCTGCTTCTCTTCAAGGTATGAATAAACTTAATACATAAATAAATAGACACTGTATATATATACATGTACATAAATTAGAATATATAAAAATATTCAAACATATGAACATCTTGATATAAAAGAAATAAAAAGAGATGACTTACTGGAAATGAACGAAAGTGGAAATATAAGTGGAAAGAGATAAAAATGATGTAAGAAATTCAATGAATTAAGTAAATAAGGAGTTAGCAATAAAGACACAATAAAAACCGGTACAAAAATACATGTATAAGAGAAGAGGTGTACATGTATATCTGATAATTGGCAGAGAAGAGGCTCAGTTATTAGTCATACTTTAAAACGAAAAAAACAAAGAAACCAAAAATGTACATGCAACATAAATATGGGGTTGGGATTTATGAAAAGAGAACACTGTTTCGTATTGTGGGAAAAACGTTGAAAAAGGCTGTCAAACAATAGCATTGCGAACGTGCTCAGGGAGAGTTGACCAAAGACGAGGGAGAGCATGGAAACAAGATAAATGCAGGGATTGGGTCCTAGCTTGTCAGTGCTGAAACAAAACATCATAAACATGGCGGAAATTAACAGAAACATTGTAAACACATTGATTACATTCAACAATATTGAACAGACACTTGGAGACAAACGAGAGAACAGCATAGTACATGTATTTGGCCAATAGACCTTGTCTTGTTCATGCTCAGTCGCGCGTAACTTTAGACCCCAACTGATACTTCAGATCTTCCTCACCACTTCAGGATATTGTTCAGATTTCCTCAATGAAACTGCGTGTACATGTACCGGTGCAGGAACCACAGGGTTTAGAAAATGAGGCAGTAGTCATGCACTTCTCCAACCTTATTGCTCTACATACCGTACATGCACGTGTAATCCATTTCTGTTTATCTTACATACGTCTATACAACACGCTGTATGATGTTTATGTATGTTTCTAAATGCTGACTCGGTGGGGGTTTTTTTGGTACATGTATTTGATTATGTATTTTGTTATGCATGGCTTGCCTAACACAAGCATTTGTTGTTTTAGGGCTTGCCTCCTCTTCTGTACTGGTTTCCTTTTCTGTATTCCTTTATACAGTTTGTGATTAACATGTACCATAAAGAGGATATGGATGTAAATGTTACCCTCCCCATAAAATAGAATATTTCTAGGATTCAGGTCATATCCCATTTTTACAGTCCAAGAGGCAGTTTTGAGGCAGGATTTTGCAAGATTGGAATTGTATTCCAGCAAAAAGCCCGTAGGAATTAGTGGTTACATGTACATGTAACTTTCAGAATGGTCAGTTTTGGTTTCCTGTTTGGCTAGAAGGGAAGGAGGGCAATAGGAATAAACCTGTACGTGTTCACATGTACCGGTACCTCCCTTGCTAATTGAATTTCTTTTCCCCATCAAGTCATGTTTCCATCCCAGACAAGAATGTCCTTACTAATCAAGTTTTCCAGACACCACCCGTGCCAGATGTCTTTTTTGTGGGTGAGCTGAAATTAACTTTTGCCGTTTGTCTGGGCAAAAGAAAATTCAAACATTGTATTCTAGTCCTAGACAGTATACGTGTACATGTACTGAACATGTACATGTACTAGTACATGTGTGTAAGGTTACGTCTGTTATTCTTGTTTTTGCATAACTTATATTTGGAAAAAAATCAAGTGTTCTGATTGTGTCTGTGCAATCTCACCTGTGTTTACAAAAAAGATTACCCAAATTGCCTCCACGCACTTGTTCATGTACATGTAATTCATTCCTTTATATTTCGTATTTTTGTAGGACAGACTTTTTTGGTTTCCTGTTAGGTTTTCCATTTTCAACAGTCTGTACTGTAATTTACTGTAGTAGTTATACTTTTGGGGGTCCGCTGGGAACTTTTCCTATTTTTCCTTCAGGCCCAAAACAATCATGCCTGTCAATCGTTTCTCTTCACTTCAGTGAACATGCTCAATTATTAGACCTATTGAATTAAACATGGAGCATTAAAACTCTCACTTGCTCCAAAAAAAAAAAAATGTTCGTGATTCTCTTCCTGACATTGTTACATGTTGGAAACTGTCCTTTTGTTATTAAAAACAGAAAGCTTACAAAGTTACTTGAATGTATACCAGTACATCCACGTACAGTACCGATACTTTATTTTCTGTATTTTTACATTTAAATGTAGGATTGCTTCTTGGCCACTCCTGCCTGCTTAATTTGGAACCACTCTTTTTTTCATTGACAGAGTGGAAAGTTGATTTCTTTGTAAATACTAGGATTTTTTGGGGTGGGTTGGTGCCTTATACTTGTACGTATTTACTCATTAACATAAACAGGGATCCAAATCCGCCCCACCCCACCCCAACAAAAATGTGATGAAAGCAAGATTTTTGAAAAGATTTATTTACTAAGTGATAGATGTTCTTATTCTGTAGAGTGTACATGTGTGTCAAATGACGTATTTGAAGTTCAAAACTTGGCCCGAAGTTGGAAGGAAAATGAGTCTTTTTGTAGCAAGACACTGATTGAGGCATGGAGTCCTTTGCATCACAGGTTGTCTTCTTTTCAGACTTCACAAATTACTCTTCCATGTGGTCATGATTTTTATTGTGGGGGGGCCACCAGCTGCCCTCTGAAAGTCCCTGACATCTGGGTGACCTTTGCTACTAACAAGGCTGGTGCAACCCCTGCCTTGAACAGGCTCTCCTTGGGCCATCAAAAAATGCACCCACTTGTGCAGACCAGACTGCCTTGTCTGGCTTCCAACTCCTCAAGTAACCGAGAGAGGGAAAAACAAGGAAATATCTGAAACCACCTGCTACATTATACATGTACATTTACCAGTAGCTGAGGCTGGTCCACGGGGAACACTTTTTTGTCAGACACAGCAAAATTTCTGAAGTTCCCCCCCCCCATTTTGTCTACATTGTACATGTACAAGTTTGTACATAAACATTTCTGTTCATTGCTTACTCAGCCTGCTGCTTGGGTTGGCTGTACGGTAGATATGTGTAGGTTATATTTCTTGTTGCCATAGGGGTGCATTGTCTTGCTTATTAGAGCCTAGTGGTTGGTGTTTAAAACAGTAAAACCAGTCGTGCAGGATGGACGTTACATGTACTTCTGGAGGTAGGATTATTCACGTTTTACATCACGTACATGTGTACATGTACAATATACATGGATCTGCAAAACTTACGCCATGCACTTTCTCAAAGGTTAAACAGTACGGACATGTACCAGTAAGATTACAGAATATATCAGGCTTCAAGGCTTGACCCCCTTTTCTTTTTTGACGGAAGTGTGGTTGTTGTCCCTGCCTGCAACTTCTTCAACAAGTTCAAGTACATATATGTACGCTGTGTGTACACACTTATGATATTGACCTCAAAAGCAATTAAGTTCAGTCCAGGAGTGCTTTATGGTTGAATTTATGGTACTGTACATGTACACACATCTACTGTACATGTACATCTGCTTTACATGTATGTGAGGTTGTTCATGGATGATCATTTAAATGCAATGCTGTGCGGTTGTTAACGTACATGTACATGTAAGTGGACCAAATCAGTCCACCGTCCACTCATAATACGAGTAAGTTCATGTACATGCACATGTACATGTAAATACATGTACATGTATGACTAAGTGGTACTCAGTACGTGTCTGAATGTATACGTATATTTATGATATATGTATAGTACCTGCGAGCCCAGTTTGGAGAGAGACGTTCTATAAACTTATCCGATTAGTGTTGATGCACATTCTTACTTTTGCTTGACGCACGTGTGTATTTGGCAAATCACGATACCCTGTTGGTCAAAGAGGCATGTACATGTAGCATGTACGTGTACTACCTGTCCACAAGTGTTGTTCCACTGCGTGAATGGTTCTAATTCTTGTTTTTTGAATGATACTAGTAGAAATTAAGTGTGATTGATTGTTGAATGAAGTTTCTGCCAGTATGTCAATATTTACTATATACACTGTTGGACTATACTTCCCATTTCAATTCACCGTTGCATTAATACTTTTCCGTTTTTCAGATCTAGCCAGTACAAAAACACTGATAGACACTCTAATCTGATACCGTGGTACATGTACATGTACAAGACATGTATGGTACGCGTATCTTTTAACCTGGTGATATGCGGTACACATCCAGGCAGGCCCATGATTTGATGTGGACCGTAATAGTAAAGCATACAATTTATAGAAGAAAATCACCTGCTCAGTTCCTCTTTTTGCTTGTGCTTATTTCAGATGGAGCTGCAGAAGTACTTAAGGAGTGGAACGTAGCCAACAAACGCAAGGTACATGTAATGATTATTAGTTGAGTGTGTAATGGAAGAGCTTGTTGTTAGAGGGTAGCAGTTGATACAGCCCCGTCTGCCCACTTAAAATGCAAAGTTCATGTAGGCCCACTTTGGGTTTTCATAAAAGTACAGTAACCCTTTAAAATGTGCATGGCTAGGTAGCTAATCTAGACCGGAGTCATTTCAAATTATGCTAGAAACAGTGAACCTTGGAATGTTATCCAGAGAAGGAGCTTTATTGTTGTGTTGAAATCTAATGTATCAAAGACCCTGTTACAATTAGAATCATTTGGGACGTGTACATTCCTTGGTGTCAGTCTGAAAATGTCGGCAGGCATTTTTGACCATCTGGTGGATTAGACAAATTTCACTTCTTAAACCAGGACTTTTAAGATAATTAAGATGGTTTTGGATGGCAAGATATAACTGTACCGGTATGCGTAATGAGATAAAGGAGAGAATGATATAAAATTTTACAGGTCACTTGCATTGGCCATTGTATTTGCCAGGAGCTTTTTTCTTTTTTTTTTGGTAACGTGGACCTCCAATAAGGGCCAGGGAATTTTTCTCCTGCCCAATAAGCCTTTTGCGAGTTAAATTTGAATAAAATCTGGTACACTGAGTTCCTTAAATTCACGTGTTCAAATATAACAATTTGAATTCTCCAAACTAAAGACTTTGTTGCTACCTCGTGATTCGGGACAAGCTTCTGCATAGTGACCACCATCTGTGGAATTCATTGGTTCCTTTGTGCCCTTGTTATCCATTGAAACAGTGTATTGGTGCAAGGCATCTCCTATGTAATAAGGCAAAAGCTTGCCCCGCATCACAGGAATTTTGTGAATGCGTAGTTGATGACTTGATTTTCTTTTGTTTCATGCATGCGCAGTCTAGACATGAACACAAAAAGAATTGTCCGGCTGTGTGGGAGACAACTCGGGGAAGGACTAGTCGGGCTCATTTTTGTACCCTTTCAAAAAATATTTCAGACGATTAACAACAAGAACAAGAAGAAGCGGGGCAAGTCACAGCAGTCAGCAGGCCAGGAAGATGGCGCACCGTCGGCTAACAGACTACAGGAAGAATGCATTTCCAATAACAACAACATAGGTACGTCTGTCGCTCTCTTTGTGCAGGTTATAAATGGTAAAGCACTCTCAGTTTAGTATCAGCTTATTTAGAGGAAGTGTGCATGTCTGACAAATCCAGACTAGACGGAAAAAAAAAACCACTATCAAAGGTTTACACTGGTACAGGCATTAAGGGTTGTGACTCTCTGGCTCTGCTGGCACTGCACATGACCTCTACATGTATTAAAGTAAAACTTGGTCGTCAACTGTGTGTAATTCAGGCCGCCTTTTCTCCTGCAGAAGCAATTTGTCCAAAGCATATCGTCACCTCTACAGAGAGATGTGATTATGTGAGGTGACGGTTTATTACTGGAGTGTGGTGACTGATGTGGGTCAATTAGTTGATAGCCCCATTTTCAAGTTGATGACAAAACTTCAATCCTGCAGTTTTGCTATGGATCTGATGACTTCCTCTTTCTTTTTGAATTGTGTTCAGTAACGAACATTTCCAGTCGGATGTACCGTAAATTTTGACAGCCTTAGTCCCAAATTCTGTTGTGAAAATACATGTAGGTGGAGCTTGTACAAAACACGTACGTGTGTGACCTACAAACAATGAAATAGTTTTCCATGTACCGGGTACCTGTTGTTATTATAGGCCTACACAGTTAACTCATTGTAATGTGATTAGGAAAATGCATCTGTCCAACAATTTATGAGGCACAGTCTCAAGAAACTTGCATTCTGGCTGATTTGACTAGATTCACAACTGTGTTTCTGTTCTGTTGTTGTTATGTGGTAACAAATTTCAATTGTGCATACATGTACATGCCAAGTTTACAACCAAAATCTTGGCATTTCATTATCGCATTAACAAAGATATTTGTTAAAACCTCCCCTTTCAGCAAAATGGACTGGGCACATGTTCGACTGATTCACTTTGACCCAGTGGTTCACATCACCGCCCACTGCTCCTTGTAGGGGTTTTCATTCCTTCAGCTTCAAATCCCCTCTGTGTTGCCAATTGAAGTGATTTGGACAAGTAGTGCAACCTGCCACAGGAATTGAGTTCTACATTTTAACACGTGCACATGGGCACCGGAACCTGACCTTCATGACATCTTGCAATGCACAAATTCAGAATTACAGTCTAGATGAAGAACAGATCACATTCATGAAGTTGGTAACCGCTGTATTCACTTCTCTTTTTTGGGACATCACTGACACCCCCAGCGACAATCTCATTCCATTTCTGATGGCTTTTCTTCTTCCCTCAGGGAATTCCCAAAAGTTGCTGAATACATGCATATTTTCAGACTCTTGGTCTCTGACATGTTTTCGTAAACCTGAGCCTACAGTACTGGGTAGTCTGTAAGTGTACATGTACGTTATGTGGCTCAGACAGGCAAGCCGGCTGTGGGGAACTGTTATTGGGACTTGTCTTTGTTTATCCATGAATGCAGAGTCTCACCAATCCCTGGCCTTAATTTGTCCCAATTGGCAATTCTGCTAAAATGAAACACTTGATTGACCAGTGTTTTGAGGGACTCTCATTTAGGACTGTCAACCTGCAGAGCGGACATGACTTGAACATGTACTTTACATTGTACAGTACATGTACGTCGTGGACTTGATCGGTCTATAATTTTTTTCAAGGACTAACAAATTTGTAGTTCACTTTACATTGTTCTGCATTGGATGTAAATTAGGGAGTTTGGCTGGGTTGAAAAAGATCAGAAAGTCAAGGTTAAGTCACATGCAGCTGTCCTGAGGAGATATACATGTACAGTACATTGTACATATACATGTACATGTACTTAGTACATTTTCAGATACATGAGCAAAACTAAAAACTGTCCAATAGTCCTAATTTTATTCTTATATATTTTGTCTCCTTCCTCCTACAATGTAGACCCTACATGAACCAAAACAGCAGGAGTACAAGAATGGTAATATAAGTAATGTGAGAAGTGTAATGTCATCGACCAAGTAAAAAGAAAAAAATCTGTGGTGGCACTGTTCATGCTCATATCCTATTGCCAGTACGTGCATGCCCCTCACATCAAGGATGTGGGTTGTGGAAACCTGTACAGTACACATACATGTAGTCATGTTGTGACTTGTATGGGTACATGTGGTAGAAGCAAATCCACTACATGCATGTACATGTACATGTACATGTTGACTCGGTACCCTTTGACATTTTTGTGGGACGGTGTTGATGGAAAAACTTTATTCACAATGTCCGTGAAAACGCCCACGGTATACACCAGTCACAGCCTGTTACTGACACAACTCGCTCGGGGGGGAATTCCCCTCAATGTGCAATGTACATGTCGGTGCAAAGGTGCCTCAGCTGCCACCCATTTTACAAGGTACTTTGAATCTGCTTTGTTATCTGTAAGTTTGATCAATAGAGAATTTTTGTGGCTTGCATGCCAGAAATATTTTGTGGGGGGGGGGAATTTATTCCCACAGTCTGTACATATGTACATGTACTGTACAATAGCTTGAAATGTGAAGCACTGGTACTTGTACATGTACAGTATGTGTCAGTACATGTGTACATATTTTTGTCTTTTCTTTCTGCGTCAGTCATATTTTTGCCGACATGGATAAAGTATAATTTTTTGGTTTGTTTTATTTTCAATTAAAATGGAAATTCTCTCTGTCGTAAAAGCTCATTTAAACTATTAAAAAATTAGCTGTTGGTGGCTGTCAGTATTTTTATTTATTCTTTATTGGTTGTTTACTCTGAGTGATCCATTCAGTAAGCCTGCTCACTGATCTTCCATGGGTCCCAGCTTACATAATTTAAGACATTAAAATACCAAAAATACAATACCACAGAATGAAAAAGGATAAAAATTCGCAAAAAAAGATAACTCATTTTACAAATGTAATCAAACCAAAAAAATTACACACTGTCAGTACAAAAGCAAAAGAATAATTCAGCGGATGTCTAAAATTCTCGGTCAGCTACATGTATCAAAACACTATTAATAATCACAACCTCTAGAGACTGAATGAAACACGGTCAGACCCTCTTTAAATGTACATGTACATGTTGTATTATGGGTCAGCCGCTGATTTTGAGGCCACTGGTAAAATCTGACACTAAACCTAGAGAAATATTTCCGCAAACCTAAGCTAAACAGATTGAAGGTAACATGAGAGCAATTATTACTTTGTGTAATTAAGCCAGTTTCCCTTTTGATTTGTTTGGTACAAGGTTAATTTGTTCATTATAAAATGCATTGTAACTGTACCGTGCCCCCTAGTTTCCCATGAACAAGACTGTTGAACATACGAACATACATGAACAACACTTTTGAACATACGAAAAAAGTTCTAAATTGGTTGACAGATTTTTCCAAACATTTAAATGGAACCCCCCCCATTCAGGGATTGATGTTTTGATTGACACAATCAATTTTTTAAACAATGCCTGTTACATACTGTCTTTCTCCCTTTCGACATCCACATACTTTTTGAGGAAAAAAAGTGGATTGTAAAACAATAAGCGTTGATTGTTTTAGATGCCTCAACATTAATCTGCATTTTTACATACATAGGTTGATTGTGTGCATTGTTGAAATACAAGGTACATGTACCAGTATATAATTATGCACAAACACCGAGGTATATTGTAGGTGGCGGCATACATGTATGTAAGTGTTGGCTAAAAGTTTAAAGGGTATGGGAAAGTTTTGTAAACATTTTTCAAATTAAACGTAAATGGGTGTTTCCAGAAATTAGGACTCCATCTTTTTTGTGTTCCTGTCAACCTGACACGATTTTGTAAGTTCAGAAGAGTGACGAAATAAAATACAAATTACCTGCTAAACAAAACAGCAATAGTTTGAAATCAATTTTGGTGATATTTCCATGTCACATAGGTCAGATGTAACAGGGACACAAAAATATCACACTATTGGACCCCTAATTTCTGGAATTACCCAAATGTCCACCGTTAACAAGACGTGGAGCTCTGCATGTACTCATATTTCCAGTCGGTTCCTGTGCTATAATGAAGTCATTGATGCAGTTTCTATAATTTATATTATCCTTGCTGGTACTCTCCTTGAAGTGAAATTACAACAAACTGTAAAAAATAAGCTGTAAAATCCTTGTTTAAATGTGAACCTGTAATTTCCATAGTCAACATTTTAAACTTTCATATGCACTTGTCAAGTTGTTTTTATCGGACAAGGTCATATTTTTGTTTCGCGAATTTATAGGTATCTCAGATGAATTTACAGGTCTTCGAATCAAACAAGAGAAATAATTACACATACATGCACTAGTACATACAGTACTAGTGTCTTCATTCAGTGACATCACAGCAACAGTGCCGTCATTTGTCAGGAAAAGCATAGAACCCTGAACATTTGTCCATTTCAATTAACGCTGCTGCAAAGGCACAAAACATGTTTTCAAGTAAAATCCACTTCCAGATGGTGAATTTTGGCAAACATGCACCTCTTCCATGATCAGTAGCGGTCTGTAAGGGGTGAGTGACTTGCAGTTGTACAGTATTTCATGACCGGTCAAAGAACTTTCATGGTTTTTATCTGCACACATTTTGATGTAGATGCCTGCAATCAGTTAAGCCAGCAACAAAGGAAAGAATTATTGATAGCCACTTCCCTATGGAGTAACATGAGTTATGCTTGGTTTTATGTCACAGACAAACCTATTGAAGCTGCAAGAGATAGCCAAGTCGGAGGAGGGAAACCAAACTGGAGTAGCCAGCAACCGAAGCCTACCAGTTCTGCAACTCTGGATGTCAAACCAGCACAACACCAAAGTGGCCCCATGCCTGCAGATAATAGCCCCAAACAGCAGCGCCGACCCAAGCCTGGCAGGGCCCAGTTGCAGCCCGGGGGGAACCCGGGCAGCACCACACAAAGCCAACCTCAGGAACCCAGAGAGCACCCAACGCATGCCCAGACCCAACCCAAGCCCAAACCCCAGCAGGGGAGAAATCCCAGGGAGTCGTCCCAAACCCAGGACAGGGATGGGGGTGGCAGTGGCGGCAACAGACAGGCCTCAGGACCAGCACCCGACCGGACTGGCAATGATAGGTCGGGCCTGGGGTCAGATCAGGCTGCAGCCCCTAAACAGGGTCAGAGTTCAGAGGGCATGAGGAAGAGGGATAGAAACGTGAGTGAGTCCAGTTCAGTAGCTGATCCGTCCAAACCCAGAAAGACAGGTGAGCTTAGCTTTTCCAATTGGTCTTAAAAAATATCGTGAGTCCAACATTTAAGATGGTTTCTTTCCAATTGGTCCTAGAAATGTAGCTGTAAAACGAATTTGCAGGTAGTTTAGGAGTTGCTCAGAGATTTCAGACTTTGTCACAGGTGATTTGACTTTGCCTTTTCTTGTATTATGTTTTGTTAATCTCTTCATTAGAATCTCATATTTTGAAAGAAAGAAATCACTTTTGGTTGAATGTAGTTTATGATTCATTATTCAGTCTTTGTAAGATTTGTTTCATGTTTATCGGCACATATTCGTTGTTTCCTCTGAGGCTTTATACCTGTGTGATAGTAAGATTTGTTAAGCTAGTTTCTTTCCTTTGCTTTGTCAGGCATGTCGTTGGACAAGTCATCAAAGGACCTGCAGAGGACAGTGGTGTCACTGACACGGCATAAAAACGTGCTTGACGAAGAGATTGAGAAGGCAGAGAAGAGACTGAAGAAGGCATTTGAGGACGCAAGGGCAAGGTAATAGAAAAGGAGGGGGGAAAAAAGAAAAATCTTCAAACACTTGACTTTCCTGATTTCCCACAGAATCCAAATCCAAACGGCACATTTCTTCACAACCGAATTGTGGACGTCACTGCGTTGATTGCGTCTTAAGCATTTTTTTATCGTTGATGATACAAGAATGTATCACCCTGGTGATCCCTGCCTGTGGAGGATTTTTAGTGGAAGTTGAAAACTGATTAGATATGGCCCTAAAAAGTGTGCAGAATTGACTACTGTTTTATGTGTTGCTTTTCTCAGTTTGAAATCTCGAGAGGAGGAGCTTATGAGACAGATTCAAGAGATCAAGCGGCAAGCAAGTAAGCTGGTTAAGCTGTGACAATTTTCTGTGTCCACATACATAGGCCATATCCTGCTGAAGCTTTTTAAACAGCTCAGCGGCACCTTCTGATTGCTCAGTAGGTGACCAACCACGTGATATACCTACATGAACAGTGATAGACCTTATGCGTATGGCATCATGTTAGAGGGTATTCCTTTCTTTCTCTGGGATACGCTTGAGTAAACTTCTTGTGCATTCATTCTAACGATACTGAAATAGCAAAGAACAGCCTCTGAGAGACCAGCAAGGCATAGCCTCTATCGCTAATGGTGTAGCAGGTTACTTTCTAAGATGAGAAAGTACCTGTAATTCTAACATAACACTCTGAATGTGAAAGTGCGTACATTCGACTGCTGACAGTACTGCAACCCTTTCTTCTCCTTCCATAAAAAGCAACATGATTTTTTTTTTCCCGTGTGGGAACACACAAATTTTACCTTTTTTCAATTTTACAGAAATCTTTAGTGACATGTTGGGCTCAGTATTTCTAGACGTCTCATCTGGTAACTTGCAATTTAAGTTTTTATACGTCAGTTGTTGTAAAGAAGTGTGGATCAAGCCGTGTGTACGGGCAAGGCTGTGATTACATTGTCGGAAGGATTTTCCGTTTTCAGGCCACTTTGGACCAAGTTGTGGAGATTGCCACATTGCGTGGTCCCCACAACCTAAAAACCAATATACACATGCTTGCCCCCCTTCCTTTGTTTTTGTTAAACAGTTTTTTTTTCATTTCAACGTGCATATACAGCCTCCCTTCTGGACGATAGACAGCATCGGGCTTTTGAGCTGAAGCAAGAAATAAGCCGAGCTGTAAGCAAGACGGACAGTGAGCTCTTGGAGCTCAGAGCAGACATCAAGGTAAGGAGGCCACCAACAGCTGCTCTCGCACAGTATCTCTAAAGTTTGCCCAGGCTTTTGCCCTCAGCTTGGCCCAAGAGTTGCCCCCCCTCGCAAAACCCCACAAGCTTGCTTGCTTGGTTAGGATTCGGAACCCAGAACTTGCTGCTTACTAGTGCAATGATAGTAACCACTTCCTGCCCGGGCAGTTATCAATGTTGATGATGCTGGGCCGAGATATTTATCATTTTTTGCTGTTTTCAAAATTCTTAAAAAATTCCTATCTTCATTTACTGGACACTTACAAACATGTGAAGGACCGTCTGGTGTCCACTTTAGCCCGACAGAAAAAACCTATTGACGTTTGAGTATTTCAGCCAGGCCTGCAGCCTTGTAAAAAGAGCCCAGATTGTGCGATGTTATATAACTTTCTTTTGTTCATGCACCTGGCACAGTGCACTGCTGACCTCTTTTCAATTGGGGCCAGATTAGCATGCAGCGGTGCTGTGTGGCTCATCGCTGTGGTGGTGGAGCACTTTTGTCCCCAGTGGTAATCCGCTCGCTCTAAAGGCCCCAAACCGTGGTATACTGTTTCAAAACAAGGCAGGATTATCTCCACTTTTGAGAATGAGAAAATGTCGGTAATAGCCCAGCAGTCTGGTCTTTTGTTCTGAGTACGGTCTTTTGTTACAAGGCCCTGTTCCCTTTGTCCGAGTTCGGAGACCCCGGCCACGCATATAAAGCATCTGTGTCCAGATCAGGAATCCCCGGCAGGAAGTGGTTAATTTGGCTTTGCATTGAGAAGGTAAGTTTTATACTTGGTATGCCCTTAACACCTGATATGTACACGGCGTCGTAAGGGCAGAACCTGGTGTAAACTTGAAATTAATACCATTTATCGCCACGGCAACCAGAGCAGTGTATCAAAAAGCCAAGGTTTTTCTGGAACAAAGCCTTTGCGTGAGTCTGTGAACGGCTGCACTGATAGGACAGATTATCACACATGCTTGTAGTTGTTCCCGAATAGCCTTGTACTGGGCATGCTCTGCTGGAATAACTGGCTCGTTGTGCCGTTGTCATGTGAAATCTGGGCTCCAGTGGAATCTCGTCTCTCTTCCCTTATTTGGACTCCTAGTCTCACATGGCCCTGTCAGCTGTCATTGTTCTGTGCACCAGAACAAGGCAATATTGATGCATCATTTCAATTAGTCATTTGTGTGTGGTCATATTAAAACATGTCTGTAGTTTTTACATGTATGTGCTAGCTTCATGGAGATAGTGAGGTGAAAATTTGAGCTGCAAGGGTGCTGAGATTTGCCAGGAATAAGGTTTTCATAAAGTTCAAATATAGGGTTTCATTATGTGTGTGAAGGTTTTTGTAGATTTGCATCCGACCGTAACCCCTGCAGGGTATTCTCAAAAAGTCCTGTCAAATGCAGCATACATGCACATGTAATGCAACAAAGCTGCAAGTTATAAACTTACTATTTGTATGTATAATTCAAAGTGAATTTTAATCTACCCAATTTTAAATATTTCTTGTTGAAACTGCTTAATCATTCAGCCCTTGGGCTGCTATTCAGTTTTAATAAACCAGGAATGAGGATAATAATAAAAATAAAATGAGACTCCTGCCAAATGTAACAGACTGATCCAAATACAGTGGTGAGTTCAGTGGCTCTGTGCAGTGCCTAGGCCCTATGACTTTACACAGAATACTGGGCCATTTGTGTTTGCCGCTAAATAATAATGATAATGATGATAAGGGAATAAATATGTGTTTGGACAGGTCTTAAACGTGTGTTTAAGACCGGCTTAGGAGAATGGATGTGACTAATATCCATGTGCCAGCGTGTGATTTATGCAGCGGGCATTATCACTTCTGAGCGGGCATTATCAAATGTTGATACACGGTCAAGTGACGTGTTTCAACCAATAGGAATAGAAAAACTGCCCCAGGTATTTGTGAATGGGTATTTATAAAATGCAACACTATTCAACAACCTGTCGCATTCTGTCACCTAGAGCAGGGGCCTGATGGTAATTGATTTGCAGCATTATCATTACAATTAAAAAACTGCTAATGATAGCAGGGAATGCAGGATGTCATTGTAATGGTAGACACTATTGTGTTAACAGCTGTCACACAGACACATGGAGTGGAACACTGAAGTTTGACAGTGTACAATAGTCAAGTTTTGGCTTGAAACATGTCTCCAGCTAACATGTAGTGGATGAGTGAATCCGCGTCAGTTTGTCACTATCTGAGCTTACTCGTGTTCAACTCATCCTAATAAAACAAGTTGCATGTCACCAGAGAACCACTGTGGTGTTTAATGACATGTAATAGAGTCGTGTGCAATGTACGTTTAAATCAGGAGGAACCCCCAATATTATTCATCTCACAGAATGTCCGCTGTCATCAGGATGTTGAATTAAGCTACATGTATGCATCAAACTAAGGAGCTAAAACAGAATCACTGGAGAAAGACCTCAGACTGATTTGTTAGAAGCGGGTCACATACATTGTATCGTATAAATTGCTACTAGTAGTTTTCAAAACCCTCAACTTTGTAAGCCCTGCCTCCTCCGCCCTCCCAAGTACCTCCTGCTTTGTCCTCATTGGAAGCTCATTGGAAACATTTTGCCAGGACTTCAGGTGGAGATAGTTCCTGTCTCGCATTAATACACCCACTTGGGAATTTCCAGTTGAAAAAAATAAACCAAACAAAACACCACAACAGATGTTCTTGACATGTACGTATGTCTGTCACATGTAGACAGGGAAAAATCACAGGGTAAAGAGATGTAAATAAACATGTACGTGGATGGTATACCATACTTTGCAAAAATAAAGTTCACAACAAAATCGTCTTTTAATGTGTGTCGTCATTGACTTGTCCTGAGGTGACTTTTACTCGGTTGTACTATACATATACAAATACATGACAAATGAAGTTTGAACTGAAATTGGCAGTCGGCCTTCCATTTTGCATCCATGGATTTTATCGTGATTCTTTTCAACCTTATTTTGTTGCAGGAAGGTAATGCGTGTATATTTTTTTGGTAGAAAGGCAATTTTGCAAGGCCTTTCTTAAAAGATTCTGGACTTGTTGAGTGTGGTCCGTTTAAATGAAAGTCTGTGGACTTCCAGAGAAGGAATCCCCTCAATCCCATCACCCTCTGCTTCTGTATTCATGTCACTTCAGATATACGTGAACATTCTAGTCAGAAATATGCTTCCCAATTCTGCAGTGAAAGATGGCCGATTACTTGTACAGATGTACATGTACATGTATGTCGATAAGTGTATGGAGAAGTTGGTTTGCAAGTGTGTGTAGGATTAGGTACACATTGTACATGTGCCAAGTAAAATTTCCTGCTTTGAGAGTCTTCGTTTTGCTAGACAGGTTGCGGTTGGTAGCTAGGGACCTTTTGACGGAAAAGGAGAATTTCCTGAGCTGTCGGCATTGTATTCAGACTTGGAGTAATTGTATCTGGAAGTTTGACCACACGGGGGCAGAGCAAATAATGTACACTCATTTGCAGTAGGTTGAACTCATGTGTTTGCTTGGTGCCGGGGTTTTCCCCACAAAGAGCCATACCCTGCCTGGTCTATGTTACTGTTGATTTGGTGTGATGCGCTCAAGTGTGTCAGTGCCTGAGATATGCATCTAAACATTGCCGTAGGGAATGCATGAAAATCCCTCCCTTTTCATTTGAGGTCTAAACTCAGTTGGTTTGTTTTCTTTTTGGGGGGTTTTGTCTTCAGCATTTCGTCTCTGAGAGAAAAATTGACGAGGAGATCGGGCGGTCATCTCGCTTCACCGGAAACCCTGACAAACTGCAAGAGGTATGCCCAACAGTTTGATATTGAAAAGACAGATCATAAAATGGGGGTTTGCTGTTGACAGGATCAAATGCATGGATGCTATCAAAATGGACAACATTTATTGTCAGAAGTGGACAGTGTAGTTGGACTTTTTGTCTGTGTGCGTACACGCCTCTCTGGCAAAAACCTCTGCAGTGAGGTTACAACTTACAATTAAAGGTGGTGGCACCAGTCCAAGTCATACCTCATGTGTTGCACAATTGATATGTGTTCGTGTCACGTCACCAACAAAGAGCAGAACTCAAAATAATTTTGAGGCACATTGTCGTTTTAGTGGAAAAAAAACCAAAAACTGGAAAGCAGACGGTGAAGAAAGTTCATTTCGAAAATTGGGAGGTGTTTAAACTTTGAAATTGAATTTTTGTTTTTTAAATGTTCACTGATGCCAGTTTCACAAATCACCCCTTTCAGGCCGTCAAGAACTTTGGGGAAGTCCTGCCCATAAGAAGCACATACTCGGAACGTCGTCACTCCCTGACCTCACTGACCAGCATGGACAGCCTGAGCCGCCCGACCTCTGTCAGCGACGACCACGGCGGACTCCTAAGCCGCTCTGCCTCAGCCCTGGAGAACAAGGTGTCCGCCCCAACCACACCCACCTCCCCAACGACCCCTGACGGTGACGACATGCACTCGGAGGTGGCTAAGATGGCCGCCAAGATGCAGCGATCCCTGCAGGTAAGGGAACCTTGGCTTCCTTGTTTGAGGAAAGGGTTCAGCAAGAAGCTCCAAAAGATACTCATTGACTGATTTTGGGTTTAAGGTCTTAAATTCATTGTTTTAGTGTTAGTGATGAAACCAAGGATTCCTAAAAAACAGCCTGCGTAGGCACTACATAGATAAAGAAACAAATATTTGGTCTTGAATAGACTCCCAACCAGATAGGGAGTTGAAATTCTGTTTACGTGTTGCTGCGGTTGGGATTCGAACCCGGGTCACAGAGTTCAAAGGGTGAAGCAAGTACCACTTTGCTAGTGTGACCCTCCTTCAAAACTTGTTACTCCAAAACACAAATACATGTAACTGATATCTTTGACAATATCTATTATTTTGGTTTTTTGCTTCTTTTGGGGTCTGAGTAGAGCCAGAGAGGTCGTGGTCCTCGAAACCCACGTCCTCAAGGCGATGGTGTCAGACAGGTCCAGCAAGGTAGCAATCCCAGACAGGGTCAGTCTGCCAAAGAGGGCAGCAGACAGGACCAACGGGGTAACAGAGGCCGCCACGATGGGCCCAGCAGGAACAGTCCTCGGGGTGCCGAGGACAAGCCGCACAGCGACACTATGCTGGAGGGCCGCCGGAACGATCGACCGCACAACGACCGCACAAGGAATGACAGGCCACGGAGTGACAGACCGCGCCACGACAGAGGAGAAGGAGGACGGGGCAAAGATGGGGAGGTGCCTCGCAACAAGGACAGGAACATCCGCCGGCGGGAGCAATACAGGCGGCGGCACGACCAAGGGGGCGAGGCTAAGCCAGAGGTGGGGGCGGACAAGGAAACCAAGAATGAAGTGAGTGCTGTGCCCCATCCGGACACCATTCCACTCACGCCAAATGAGCCGTCCACCCCAAAAGCCTGACAAGAAACCCACAGACACTGTCAATGGCGTTCTCCCGATGGCCAACGGTAAACCTCATGATGGCAGCCTGGAGGAGCTCAAACTGCACACACCACCAACACAGACAAAGTCGGGAGACCAGGCCAAGAAGGATGGCCCACTGGTCAATGGCAGCGTGAGCAGCAGTGCCGAGACCACACCCATTGAGGCGCTGCCCCAGCGCAAACCTCGCGAGGACCGCAACCGGAAGAGGGTGGAGGAAGTGGTCAAGGAGGTGACTTCCATGAATGGCATGACGAACGGAGAGGTCATGGTGAACGGAGAGAGCTAGGAAAGAAGGAAGCCAACAAACCAAGGCATCATTGGAATGACATCAAGAAATATCAACAGTATTGAATAGGAACTACTGGTCACAGTGGCATGGGATGGCCTGCTTATATCAAAAAGACACAAAGAGTCACTGCTTTTTTTTCCAAATTCCATACCCAACTGCCACTCCATGTGTTATGTCTGAATTGAAAAAACAAACACCGAAAGACCAGACACGAGGAAGATTCGTCTGAAAAGGGCTTGAAAGTTATCCCTTATCGGGAAGCTTTTGTAACTTCAAGTATTATGGAAACTATACATGTTTGTCAGTTGATTGACTTACTTGTATTTGTCTGACATTTGCATGCATTTTTGATCTGGGTTTGTGGTATTATTGGCTTCGTCACTTTAATATTTATCAACCTTGCATCCTTTGAATGCTGCAGATATCTTTGTTGATTAAAAAAAATTACATATATATTCATTATTACCTATGTAAAACGTAAGATTAAATTAATTTGTGTGTGCTGTCTATGATTATAGCTTAGATGAACTAATATTAGGACCAGTATGTATAACTCAAACATTTTATTTGGTCATTATCATCCGTTATTGTTTATGTTAACAGAGTTATTTTATATTGATTTCTTGTAGAGGCTGTTCAGTGTATGCTTTTATTGATCGCTGCTGTAGAAAGGATAAAAAATATATATATGCTGTGTGACCATGGAAATTTTGGAAGGGTAAAAGTTTTCTCTGTGAATAGCCGAAAGATTTATCAGTGTCAAGAGAATGTCTGGAATCGCTGTGCTTGACAATTTCTGTAAATTCCTGGAGACATATAACTTATTGAGAAATGCCTGAAAGATGACATCAGTATTTTTGTGGACGTACACGTAACTCAAAAGGTGTGTTTCTGGTTGCTGGGGCTTGCATATTTAAAACATCCTACTGAATTCTTAATGAATGCCAGGCAATGGGTGGCAACGGGAAGCACGTCATTCTTCAGAGATATTCTCATCTGGCACTATAGTCTCAAGCCTAATTCTCACTGAAATGAGTGTGGTTGTACTTTGATCGTATTTCATTTGTTCATCCATGTAAAAGTTGCCGCGAGAGCAGCTTTTTTCCAACTTGGGACTTTACTACCTCATGTAAACGTTCAGAATTTTTGCAGGTCAACTTTAAATTGTACTTACACCATTTGGGTTTTAGGTTGCTTACGGTGGCAACGTTTTCTCCCCAGGTTTTTAAAGCCGATTAGAATGAAACAGAAGTCAAATGAAGCTTCTGAGCCTCAAACGCCAATCTAACTGTATTCTGTGCTTCACGTAAAAAAATGAAGAAAATTCACAAGTTTGAATCCTTTCATATCGATCTATTCAGGTATTGAGGTGAAGTTGGGCACATTTTCTTGACTCTCGCAATTTGTTTGTAGAATGGCATTGCTACAAGCTGTTAATGTTATCACCAGTTTAAAGAAAAACAAAAAAAGCATATCTGAATCGCCTTTTTTCTGGAGCTGTCTTTTTGTGGGCTTACTGATATGTACCAAATGAGCTTGTACAGTTGCATGTTGTGAAGCTTGCTCTGACAGGATATTCAGTTTTTGTTTTTTTTCCGTGCACTTTGGCACTTAAACTCGACAAGCAGTACTTTTGTGTTTTCCTCTTTCATCGGGAACAAGTGTTTGATATGACTCACTCAGTTCACACCTAAAAATGGAAATGTTGCAGAGGAGGGACCACCCAGTGGGCATTTACGTTTACATATAGATGGCGAAAAACAAACATTCCGGTTTGAACTTCAAATTGAGCTTATGATAAGGCGTGGTAGTTTATTTCAAGCACAAAAATGGACGAGTATTAAAAAAAAGTGCAAATTTCGTTATCCAAGGGAATCTGTATACTGTTCAAAATGTATCCAATATTGAATTAGTGTCTGAATTGAATTTGATAAAACATATTTTGGTCCTTTTTTTGCATTGCATTGAAGTGTTCTGATAAAGTACTGGCAGCCTTACTGTTAGTACGTGCCATTTACTTTTTTCTTTTGTCTGGCGATAATTCACTGAAGAATTGTATTCTTCTGGGCTAACAAATACAGTGACTATGAGTTTAAAAAGTGCCCTTGCATGATCAGATTTTGTTAGTTTGTCAAAGTTAATGTTTACTCTGTCAGATTTTTTATCAGAATTCTTCAAAATTGTTGAGTAGGGAAGTCGAAGAGAGCCATGGTAATGTCTCTTTGTCACTAAGAATTTGTACTTAAGTTTGTGTTGGATGTGTTGTGTATTGAGTGTATTCTGTGCTGTCGTAAGTGGAGGTTTATCAAAAGATTGCTTTTTCTTCCTGTCTGTCTGAAGAAGGAATATGGTGAGGATTGTCCTTTTTGACCCAGTTTTGACCCCAAAAGTATTGACACAGACGTTTGTAAAGGGGGAAAAATGTGAGTCTTTTCTAAGAGTGGTAGTGTGTAAACAAAGGACTGTGGTGATTGCCCTAGAAAAAGTGCTGCGCTCTCGGAAAATTGCAAAGTTTGTGACTTGGTAATGTGTAAAAACAAAGGCAAAAAAAAAGAAAAAAAGCATAACAAAGAGTAACTGCCTTTACACCACAAGGTGATCAGAAATATTTCATCTATTTTTGTGATCAGAGACTCTGTATATGGAATTATAAATATGTATAAAAAAGTAGAATCTCCAAAAAAGGTTCAGAATGTGTGATGTTGGTCAAAAGTGGCAAAAAATGCCTTCTTTTTCTACAGTCATTTCTTATTGTAGCCTGTACTTAAAAAAAAAATTTCCGGACTTAAATTTCTACACTTTTCTTACATGCTGTACCTTGCATAAGACCTTTGTTTCCAGAATGCGAATTACTTGTACAGGCGGCCAAAAAACAACCAGTGTATATATGAAGTCAGAAGTTAAAGTTAATGAGAATATGACATTAAGCAATAGTTCCCACGCTTAAACATTTCAGCACTGGATACGCAGGTGTAGACTAATACCGTATCTAGTGTTTCAAATGCATGATTGCTGAATTCAGGGACCTTTTGTTCTCGACTCTTTGTTCGTTGACAGTTCCTTTGATTTAGTGCCTTAAGACAAATTACAACATCTGTTTGCCATTTGGGGAGAATTATTTGACAACTCTATGACATGAAATAACCTTTTATCGTAATGGTAAAAAATTAATGGTTTTTGGGGGGTTTCCTTTTATTGGAGCTTTACTTGCATAGAATACCCCCTCCACTTGATTTGTGATAAACCCTGTTAGTTGTAAAAAAAATTCTGTTATGGCATGTGGAACTGTTGGGAAGGTTTTTTCTTTTGAAGTCCTATTAAATCAATGAGAAACAGCAGATCCTGTTCCGTATTTTTCCAGTTTTGAGACGTCAGTCCTCCCTTTTCATGCCACACCTTAAGACATCCAGGACTTAATGCTGGTATGACTTTGTTCATTCAGGTCCCACTCCTGGGCCACTTTCTGTGGAGCTTGTCGAGAGAACAGTTTTTGCTGCTTACAATCTCCACCATTGGAAGTATCTTCCATTTCACTGTTAACCTCATAAGTTCTCCTCGCTCCCTGTCCCATTATAATTGGGGTCACCTGCAGGGCTGCCAAATCTTTCTCTCGGCCATTACAGAATCATCTCACGCTTTTCACACCACCCACTTGCGATTCTCGTACAAAACAAAATTCAAAAGTCATTTGTTCAACCATTCCATGCTACATCCCAACAACAGAATGAAAACACTCTGTAAATTTTTGGATGATTGGCTGTTATCGCGCAGTCAGTGATGTTGTGTGTTTTTGTGTCAGGACAAGTCTGTCTCTGAAATGGGCTTCCAGAGCTACAACCATAGCTATTCTCACACTAATCTCAACATTGGGAGCCCTGCACTTAGAATAAGGGCTGGTTCGTACTCGCTGCGTTTGTACAAACGCAGTGCGTAATGTAAATGCCGCATTTGTCCTTCACACTTTCATCTTTTGTCAAGTCTCGGCTGCGTGCGCGCATCCAACAAAAATTTTAAAATTCCAATTTGTCCGAAATACGCATACATTTGGTGCATACACACTATCCATTATTTTCACCGACTGCATGCTAGGGCGCACATTTTCATTACGCACTGCGCTTTCCTTCACGCACTGCAGACACCTCAAAATAGACCTTTGCGCTGCGTACACAGTGAATACACCAGCAAGTATGAATTGACCTTAAGACTACAGAAGACTGGAACCAAAAATCCTATATCCCAACAAATGTGGACTGAATGATTTGAGACACTTTTGTAAATCAGAGGAACGTGTCTATTAAACTGCCAAAAGATGTGGACGTCCTTATCAATTATTTTAATAGATAGGACTGCATCTGGACACAATCTCATCTAGCTAATCTTTGAGACTTTGATGACTTGCATACAAGCAAATCAATAGGAAATCTACTCTCTATTTGGGGTCGTGCACTTCATGCGAGCCGCACGCCTCCGATACAGGTGGTTATCCAGATCCTTGCACGCTTGGAATATACATTGGCACAGCTTGGAACATCTGGGTTGCTGTGCTTGCATCACTTGGGGTGTGTCGGATGTGGGTGATACGAAGGGAGTTACAGGCAAAATCGGTGCAAGAAGGTTTCCTAGTTCTAGTTTTTGTGCTCACTATATCTGGGTGTTAAGGGACCCTATTGGGGCACTAGGTAAGGCTGAACGTCCTGAAAATTGAAGACAATACTTATGTCAAACTTTCAACATTTCAGTTTAATTTAACATTTGGACTTGTTCCAAAAGCAGAAGTGCATATAGCAAAACAGGAAAGGTGCCTTACGAGAAGCGTTTTACTGTATGCTGCATTCAAATACCTCAGACTCCACTCAATAAAACTTCACACTAATTCTGTGTGCCAAGACAGAATATAGCCCCACACACTCCATACCAATTTGAGGCCTGTCTCCATGAAGTTCTAGCATTGGGAGGTACTATACGGCATTACCCTTGCTATGATTGGGTATGTCAACTGTGTACAAATCATCGTAGCCAATGTTTTTTGTCCACTGACATTTTTCCCAGGTTCATTGGGGGTAATTTGGTATTAAATTGGCAAAAAACAATATTAGTACAGATAATTCCATGCTTCTGCGCAACTTGTCATATGTGAAGGGAAACCTATTGTGACTTTTTTTTGCCTGGGGCAAAATAAACAGCCCTCTCACTGGTCCCCAGAGCATTCCACATCCTCTCAGCTCACCCTAGGGAAAATGGAATATTCTGGGATCATCTTATGAAACTAGAGTTACCATGGGCCATCCACTTAAAAAAAAACACCACATTTTCATGGGCACATTTAAGTGGCACTGAATGATTTTCATAAATAGTAAAAGTGCTAAAAATAACCCAGCACAGATATCAGAAATGTTTTCCTTTTCAGTTTGTATGCTCTCGAAGGAGGGGGGGGTCAGAGGGGAGTAATCTTTGCAAACTTGTAAAAAATGACAACAAAAATGGATGGCCCATAAGATCGCCCTTCAATGTCAATTACTTTCATACAGATACATGTATTTCTGTTAACATTGCAAAAAATAAAATTCCTTTCACACATAGAGCATGTCCTTGAATATTTACACCAGAAACTCTGTTCCGATCAAAACCAACCCTTGCAGGTCAGATTTCATTCATAAGAACTCTTGCATATTCATATATGATTGCGACGATGTTCCACAAGACTGGTACAAAGGGCCACACTTTCAAATGATTTACTCTGCACCCAATTTCAATAGAAATCTATAAGAAACGAGAATACATAGCTGACTAGCTGAAAATCATCAGTTAATGATATCACTAGACAGATGCCACAGATGATGGGCACAATTCAAATACTCATTAGTTCCAGACATGTCTTGTTCCTGGCCTTCATGATGAGAACTGCTGCAAGGCTGTCTTGACTCTGCATTGAGAGATCAGACCAAGTACATCCATGTTTCAAACCTCTGTTAAGTGATTAAAGTCCCTTTATTTCAAATCTAGAAATTCCTTTTTTTTTATAAATACATTTCACAGGAACTATACCTTAAATGTCCTACTTTACACCCACTTCAATACTTTGTGAAAAGTCAAAGTTACCTTCCATTAATAAAATTGGTAATTTAAAGTAAGATATTTCACAAATTGACCACAGGTAAGTGCCACAAATGTGCACTAACATTAGGGTCAGAAATAAAAAGCTAAAATGGGAGAATTAGACTTATTCACAAGTCGGCCATCTTGAATTGAAAATGAGGTGATCCCTGTAAACATTTTCTAAACACTTAAATATCTGTGGGAGTGAAGATGATGCAGCAGGGGCAAATGACTGACGACCATCTATGTACTCTGGTGGGTAGTTCCAAATTGTGCAATAAAACGTCATGTCTCCTTTGTTTGGAGGAATGAAAAATATTTTTCAAAGTGAGGCCTGGTCTCTAATTCTGGCAAAACAGTCAGAAACCTTCCCATTTCAGAGAATTCAATGAATAAAGCAGATTAGGGGAGCATGATCCAAAATGGCGATCCTAAGAATAAAGCCCATGACGTACTTATCAAAGAGCACTGTGTCGTTGGAATCCAGCAGCGTCTGCAGGTGCTTCTGAATGCCATACTCCTTGAGCTTGGCCTGTCTCTCTGCGGCCCCATCTTCCTCTGTCCACACCAGGTTATTGATGCAGTAGACTGCTGCGATCTGCAGCTTCACGTGCTCAATCCTCTACCAGAGCGACATGTAAAACGGACATGTGAGAATCATCGTGAATCGTCATCATGGGAAATGAACATGTGGAGCCAGCACGTGAAACAAGCGTGTGAAAATTATCACATGATAGCACCCTGGGGCAGCAACATACGGACTCAGCATGTGAAATAGTCATGTAAAAATCATCACGTGAAATCAATACCGACAAGCACCACTTGAAATCAACACATGAAAATCAATATGCAAGGAACAACAGTTTACTCAGTACACATTCACAGCAAGTCAGCACAACAACAAGAAAGTTAAGTGTGAATCGATCTGCAAAAACAGCACTTGAAAACTCATGCATTATGGGAACCAATTTGTGAAACAAGTGTGACACCGACTCAAAAACCTGAAAGTTCATGTGAAATCTACTGGTGTAAATCAGGCTTAAAAAGCAGCATATGAAAATAATTTGTACAATCAATTGCCTGCAATTAACGAGGGCAATCAAGCAATGTAACAACAAAAGAGATCAACATGTGGAAATAAACAAGTGTCACTAACCATGTAATAAGTGAGTTTCTTCAGAATGTCTTCGTTGGACATGATGTATTCTTTGGCCGAGTGCCCGTCTGCGATATTGGCAAGTATACAGAGCGTCTGAAACAAGAATGTTTAAAGAGATATTTTACACACAAGCAAGGGGTGATGGGGGGCCAGAAAATGCTAGGAATATACAGGCAAAAGACGGCGGCATGGCAGACTGTACTGCACAACTGTTTTGCAATTCCGACACAAATTGTATTCATCGGATAATTATTCAGAAATCCTACCTGCCAACACAGAAAAGTCAGAAATCGAAACACCTTTTCACGAGCCTTTAATGGAACAAATAGCTGTGCAAGAGAGACACTATTACATACATGTAAATGTGTAACTTCTGCCATTTTTTACAAAGCAAATAGCTCCCTCTATTTTTCAAACAAATAGCACCCTCTTTTTCTGCATATAGTGCCATTTGCCTGGTCTTTTTTTCCTTTATCCTGGGAATCAGAATGTTCACATTTTCTAAAGTCTGAAAACTTAAAAATTGGGACAGTTCCGACAAAACCAGAACAGTTGGCAGGTATGAAAAATCAGAAATTTTGCATTTTTTTCTTTTTGGAACAAGATCCTTGCTGCACAATCAAAATGCATTCAAGTGATTTGTTACAAAATTACTGTGTGTCTAATACTCTAAACCTTCATGCGCTGACAAAAAATGGCCCCAGATTTCAAAGACAAAATAATTACTGAATTGCTTTTTGGCAAACTACAATAATGCACCTGTTCCTTGACGTCTGGCGGATGGTCGCCCTCCAGGATCATGATGACAGCTGTCATTATCTGCTTGTTGTGGGACATCATTATACTGTCTATATGCTGAAATGCAGTAAGAAATATACACTTGTCTTAGTACAAGCTTTATTTAAAAAGTGCATAGATCTCTGAGGGAACACGGAAACACTGAGAAAACAATGGAATGTATGCAGTCTGTGCTTAGTTATCAGTGATTTGTGGTGACGTTCACTCTAAATGAGCTCAATATTGGACTGCGGACTTGACACGCGAGAAGTATCTTAACTGAAGCAAATGCAATTTCAAACATATCTGACTGGCACATTCTTTCACAGTATATATTCTTATTTTGAGGCTTATTGACCTGCTTGGTGGACAGCAGGTTCCTCAGCAGTCCCAGCGTTTTCATCAGGATGTCTACGTTGGAGTCGGTCAGCAGGTCAAAGAGCTGGTCAGTGCCCAGCGAGCCCAGGATGCTGTTCTTGATCTTCTGCTCTGCCTGGAAGGCCATGTTCATCAGGCCCCAGATGCCGTTCAGTCGAAGGGCTGTGTTCTGGCTGGCCGTCAGCTTGCAGAGCAGCTCCACCGCCCCGGCTTCAACAATTGGCTGAAAATGGTGTTGACACAGACAGAGTTTCAAGAAACTGCCTTGAATCGGAAGTCACTTTTATAAAGGTAACTTTTTTGTCGGTCATCCAAGACCAGATATGGTGTCGGGGTGCTGCTTCATCAGATTAAAAAAGGTGATAATATATTGATCAAGTAAAATATTTTGAGACAAAGCTTTCAGAAATGTTGGCAACTTTGGAAGGTGCACGTACAACATACTTTTTCAGAAATGTTCCCATCGTTTTGAGAAATTCTTGCAGAATACATCATTCATAAAGACAATATCTTGCAAGGAGGATAGAACTAAGGGATCTCTCAGAATATAATACACTTGACAAAGTGAACTTCACAACTCTACACGTCAAATTCTTCCATCAAATTGAATCAAAATCCGCCTGGAATCAAGCCGGTTTGCCAGCATGCATGTTTTTCTAGAGTATATACTCTCAGGTTTTCACTGAATAATCTTCATAGACAAAAGATCCACATGTTGGTCAATGTCCTACCTCTTTGCTTGGTGAGAACTCTAGCAGGAGATTGCAGAGTGTTGATGATGCTATTGTCATGAGTTCATCTGGATGACCCAATCTCAGCAGCTGATGAAAATAAATATTCCTTTTTTATATTCAATGACATAATTATCAAAATTCTTGGCGGACAGTGGTCAGCAATACTTTTCAACTGTGGGGTGGGGTGTAAAATCCTTTCTCTAAATATTGCTTATTTTCTTGACAATCCCGTTTTCAAGGATTTGAAGATGCTCAGTAGAAAATGTCTGAAAAATTGTTCAATCGCAACTTATCAGGGGAGACGCAAACGGAAGAGAACTTAAAAGAAGACTTGTATTGATTGATTATTGGAGTAGCATTTCATTTTGGTTTTACCTTCATCAGGGGCTTCCAGACAGCGTGATCTTGAAAACTTGTTCTAAGCTGCTGCACAGATCTTGATAGGCTATGAAGGCATCTACAGTCAAAGCATAGGATGAAATGACAATTTGGAAGAGCATTGCGTCTTATTAACCCCTTGACGACAGGAATTTCTTCCCGAAAGCCGACTCCAAGAATTCCAGCCTCGCTTGGCCATGAAGGCCACCTACCAAACCACAAATTCTCAGTTTGTGGCCCTGCGTGCTCTGCCTGCTTTGAATTACACGGTGAAAAGGCTGATTGTTCGGTGACATGCGGCTATTCACCCTTCCACATTCCCGTTGCCTCTTTTCAAAGTGGGGACTATTGTGAAGCTGGTGATTATGATGCAAATTCGGTCTTTTCATTTCTGGGCTACGCACAAAGACCAATGACCATATATACAAGAGCCAAGGTCTGCCTTCTTTCAACGTGTTCGCTCGAGCGTGGGCCGAGAATAATAGTTGAAAAGCAGGCCTGAGGATCTCAATTTTTACAGCGGTTATAGCCGCCTCCCGGCGCGAAGGGGTTAACACCTAAAAGCTGCTACGAGACCAGCAACCCATTTCATAATAATTGGTGTAGCCTTTCCACAGTACATGTATGTAAGCCTTGAGAAACAAATTCGTGGCAAAGTTGTACGACGCATTTATGGCCGATTTGGCAACAAAAAGGTGTAGCTGTGCAGTGTTTTAATATCTTTTAATATCTCCGATGAGGGCAATCGCAGCTTTTATAAGGTCTGTCCCTTCACAATTTCACAGGAATCAGTAAAGGCAGTCTTTGGATTAGCTCTACCCTTAATTCTGACAAAATGTCCACCTTTTCTACCCTAAGCAGTTCCTGCACACAGCCTGACCTCTGGTGTTCACTCACCTGACGGCAGAGAGTTGTACCTTCAGATTGGGTTCCGACAGGCATTTCTCAATCTGGTCCATCAGGCTCTCGGTGTCGATGATCTGAAAAACAACAAATACGAGACCTAAATTAGAGCTACGTCCCTCAAGATGTCTCGGTTGAGGTAGAGAAGATGGTAAGGGGGCAAGGTTGGGGTCTCTGTACCATCCCAGCTTTCCACTCTACAGTCAGGGTTAGAATCTGACTTGGAACCATGGAGTGGATTTCTACAGTCTCCACAGAACATTTATAGCTTCTTAAGGTTTTATTTCAGAAGATGTTTAGATGTAAAAGTTACAGCAAGAAGAAATATGTCTGTGCAACGGGTATTTCCTTCCATAATTTAACAAAGAACTTTGCATGTTCCACTATGTTGATAAACCAACTGGAGAGTGTTTCAAATGCGCAGGAAAAGCAGAGCTTCAGTGTACTTTGTAAGTGTCTGGAAGATTTGATGTGATGTCCCATACTTCAGAGCATGTAGCAAAATAGCTTAGACTCGCCCTTTCATTTGCCCTGTTCAGGCAATGAAGATCCAAGATGTTGAAAGCTGAATTTTCTAGTTGAAAGTATACTTCTGGGACCCGTGGAATTTTTTTAAGCGGAATGCTTTATACATGTAGTTGTGTGTCTACTTCTTTTAAATACTGATTCTTAGGTTAGGATTTTAATGGTGTCATTTCAGTAGGTATGTGCTATTATTATTTTACAAAAAGAAAATTTCTCCTTTTTGTACAAGGCCCAGAGATCCAAACTCAGTAGGTAGTCAAGATCTCCATGGTTATATAACTCTGACCTTTTTTCTGATGTCTTCCTCATTGGTGCCCAATGATGCAAAGACTTTAAATGCTGCCTGTTTCATCTCCGTACTCAAATCCTCCTTGAGTGAAGAAAAAAGGAAAACCTCACATTAAGGATTGCAGTGTGTCTCAAAAGTCAGAAACATTTGCATGAAGTTGGACTGTTCCCACTGGCTAAGACTGTTCTTCAGCAGCATTCAGATGGGAATGCTGAGTTCCAAGTACAACGACCGCCCGTTCTAGAGCAGGAACAATGTGTTGCAAATGGAATGTTCCTGATTTTACAACTGAAAGGCATTGCACTTCACTTTTTTCAGTGGTTCCTTGCCATGCTATGGGAACTGTTACTGAGTACCAACTGCAAGAAGTCTGTTATCAGACATTTGGTCATGGAAAACAGATCTGATACTCACGTTCTTATTGGTGGCTTCCGGTATGTACCTCAGGAATCCAGCTAGGGTCAGGATAAGATGGTCCGTGATGCTGGCTACCCGCTGGAGCTCAATGTCCTCCTCTATGAGAAAAGCCAACGTCTCCGCCCCTTCCACCCTCTCCTCCACTGATCGGTCCTTTTTGCACATTCTGACCAGGCAGGGCAGTACCTACACAAAGGCAACCCCCCCCACAAAAAAAGGTCACAGAAGTCATGAATTTGAATCATCAATTTGAGTTTATGCAACTCCAGCATTTGGAGCTGGCCAGAGTTTGCTTGCATCCACAAGCAAGATACTGAGCAATTATTGTTCTCATCAAACAAAGAGCAAAGGATCACTTCCAGACCGGCATAAAGCCATTTATTCTTCACCCAGTCAACTATTCCAATTTCTCCTAAATCCAAAAGGGTCATGCACTTTGGATCACTAAGTACACTTTCACGACTTCCAAGCACCACAGGACATCTTCTGAGATCTTTATCACCATTTGGTATCACAGTACCTCAAATATTCTGCACACCAACAAGGACAAGACACCTGTCGTATCTTTCATGAAATGGGCTATAACTTGGTCCCAACTAGTCATCTTTAACAGAATGGCCACTGAACTCACCCTGAACTGTATGATAGGGTTATCCACTGCAACAGCTCCAGCTCTACACAGATATGAAAGGCTGCAGGAGAACAACAATTGTAAAAGTAGTTTTCAACAGTTTAATTTAAGTCTTGCATTTGTGAACTCTCTTTGCTTAATTCAGAAAAGCAGATGTCACTTTTACCTATTTTTTCTTATTTTATGTCGGTTGATCTCAGTGGCATTTTTTGGTTTGCCTTTTTTCCTCTTTTGGAAAGGAATATGAGTGATGTGCAGCTCTTAGAAGATTCTTAAAAGAAGCAATTCTTCAACAGCTCTCAGGCTACACAAACTTTCAAATGTTGTCTTTTCTTTTCTTTTTCATAACCAAACATCCACCTGTAACGGCATTTATGAAGAATCCCAGTAACACAAGCCCCCCAAAATCTGTAAGCTGGTGAAAGATTCTAACTGCATTTACCACTTAGCAGCAGTCAGCTGCATGGCAACAGAGTGATTTCTGCTCAGGAGTCGGCAGAAGATTTCAAGTAAGCACTCCCCGTTATGCATGGCTGGAAGAATGCAAGGGAAAACAGGAATATTCAGACAAAATGTAAGACGACAGTGATCAGACACATGTGTTTGAAAACGAATATAGGAGTATACGTGTAAATATACCCTTGTTCAAATATGCCTCACTGGTGCCAATGATAAACAAATGAATGTTGACTTACTTTCAAAATATACTTAGAAGCCCCTCAGTAGTTAAGACATGGAGACTATTGAGAGAATGTTTGTTTCAATTTTCACCCTATGGCCACCGAAAAGTTCAGAAATTTCCATGTAAGCCCTTGTTTTTACATTTGCTGCTTTTGCCGAAGTTGCCAATATCAAGGAAAACGATGCAAAGATAGACATTGTTGAGGGTCTTCTTTGTACAAAATCCCTCCTAATAACGAGCCCCAAAACACACTTGTTACTAACAGTCTTACAGCCTGTTCAATTCACAGCCCTCACATCATACTAATTTTGTGAGTTCCTCATGAACATTTTACGCTTACTTTTTATTTGGGAAGATGCATCTTCCCAGGGCAAAAATCTAAAATTAATTTACATCTCCCCAGCGCAAATCCATCCTTGAGAAAGATGCATCTCATCGAAACTACGCTTTCTGTGAGCATCTTCAAGATGGCTAACAAATTTTACGATTTAACGGACAACCATAATGAATCCAGAAATATTTCTTTGAATAAGGCACCCCACTAGCTTACATGAGGCTATTGCCGAGGAGACATTCCTGTTCTGGTAGGCTAGGGCTGCATAGCATCGTAATGTTGGCAACTGAATCTAAAAATAAATATATACACAATATCTCTTTCATGTTCATGATTTAGCAAGGCAACATCATTGGCAGTGTGATCACAAGTTGAACGAGCTGTGAGCATGCAGAGTGCAGATATCGATCCTTTTTCTGTTGCACTCACAATCAAACTTATGCGAGAAATCTGCCAGGTAAGTATATGACTTAGGAAGTAACACATAGACAAGATGATTTCAATTTTGAGTAGAGACTGAAACAGCTTCACTTGGCCAAAAAAAGTCCCAAGAGAAACCTACAAGAATTTGTGATTTCTGCAGTTGTGAGGAAAATAAACCGCTTTGAAAATGCAAAAAAAAATTCCATCAAACAAAAATCTTCAGGTTTCTAGGGTACCCCTCTCAATCCTCTTTTTTTTAGTCTCACATTCCAAAGCACTCCTAGGTTCCTGAGGAATCATTAACTCCTTATGTCCCTCTCCTCGACATAACACTCACCCTGTCTTCGTTAATGTCTAGGAGAGGGGCGAGCGCACCAACTGCCCCGTGCCTGAATAACGTCTCTTGATGCTCAGAGTTCTACAAATGACAATGTCAAAAGAATGCTTCTCATTGCATTTTGCATAAAAAAATCCGGCAAATGAAAAGGGACCAACTGTACTGTGACAGCCAGGATTCAGTTTGTGTTCAAATGTTGGAAAGAACCATTAAAGATTTGAAATCTGTTAACTGCGCATTCCCTTCACATCTGTGGTTTTCATCTAGTTTAGTGGTATTACACAGTGGTTCGGATTCAGATGCTTTAAGAAGGTAATGTCTGAGGATGGAACAGACATACAATTAATTTTGAAATCAAGGTCATCTATGCTTCTTTCTGTCAAATTGGATTGGCAAACAGGAAAACTGGTTGAAGAAACTTAGGAGAAACTGAAAATTTTGAATGAAGATTTGTAGTGACACTGTAAATAGTAAATTTCCTGACATTGCTTGTGCAATAGTCACAGATGTGGCAAGAAAATGAACTTTGAAATACATCAAAATTAAATGTCATTTTTTTCTTACATGCCCCTCCCAAAATAGGGCATATGCGTCTTTTAGAGTAGAAGTGCGGCCTTACGTTCTTAGACGCACAGATTTTTCCATCTCAATTTAGGCCTACCTTACAGCAAGTGGCTAGTATGCCGGCTATGCATTCCTGAGTACATTTGGACTGCGGGAGTAACTGTATCAAGTGGGGTATGATGGTGCTATCCTGAAAGGTAAAGAATAACACAGAGCCTGTGCATTACATCACTCATGCATATTTATGATCTCGCTTCACAGCCCTGATTGGTCAAATCCAGATTGAAGGGTAAACTTCTGAAGGTGGTAATATGCAACTCTTCTTTTTGGTCTAGCTTCCTCTATTAAAAATGGCAATACAACAGAGTCCACCGCTGTGCTTACCTGGTGAAGTATGTCCGTGGGCGCTGTGGGACTTGTCATCATGGTACGCAAGAAACGGAGACAGGCTTCAACAAACTTCAAGTCGCTGTGGGCTAAACCTAAGCCAAGGGGAAATGAAAGAAAAATCTTTCACCAAGAAAACTGCAATATGAATTGAAAAACCATGCCATTCTCTGAAGAGCTATCCCAACAGACACAAACTTGGGAATATGTATAATTAAAAATTGAACCCAGATGGAGATTATGATCGCTTAAAATTAAACTGGCCAAGTTTGAGCATTGATAAGTGCAAAGCCAGGAATCAATCCAAGGAGACTTTATTCTTGTTGCTTGCTGCTCTTTTGCCCCTAAACAGTCAAAGAAGCAAGATGCTCAAGCAGTTATGCCAGTGTTTGTACATCTGGACAGCACAAAATCCAGCTAAGCATGTTAATCTGGGCTTTGCTCCACCCTACCTTGCAACATGATGGTCAGCACCCCTTCGGCAAGTAGCCGTTTTTTGGTCTCCTCTGACCCCTTTGCAAAGCTGCCCAGTATGATGGCACACTCCACGAGCACAGCGGGGGACTTTTCACTTGTAATGACGCTCAGTAACCTGCAACAATCAGTGGATATTACTTAACAGTTGTAAAAAAATATTGACAAAGGCAGAAGAAGATGTCAACTGATGATCACTACTTTTTATCACTTTTGAAACCAGCTTTAACCGTGAATGCAGCATTTATGATTTCCTTTTTTCATTTTATTCTCATGAATTCGAAGTAGTCCACACATAATCTTTCTTGAATTTTCATCATTATCTTATTTTAAATAACTGTATATACATGAACAAATATTACTTGAGGTTTACGAATGAGACACCTTGGACTTGTGATGCCAGTAAGTAAATTTAAGAATGTGGTGTCAAATGTTACTTCAATATTTGGTTTAGACTGTGAAATATTTTGTAGACAAAAATATTATACAATTAAGAAGAACAGTTCTAATTTTTGCAACAAGCCGACAATTTCTCCAGCCCAAATTATACATAAAATCCTCCATTCTGTTATTGTTCTGGTGCATGTCATATAATGCAGTAACCCTTCTGACTGCCAAGTTAGGGCAGCTCAAAATATGACCCAGGCACCATCTGGAACAGTCGGAGGGTTGAAACAGGCAAAACTACAGGCAGAAACATGGGAAAGCTTACCTAGGTACAGCACCACACAGCATCAGATTAGCCTTCTGTCTGTTACTGCCAATTACCACATTCTTCATTTGTCTGAGTAAAAGGGAGCAACGTGCACGATCACAAGATTTTTCACAATGAAATCTGTTTGATTTTAGCCTTCTGCATTACATACGTATGCTATGTACATGTTTTTCCAAATTCAGTGCTGGTATTGGCATTGGATGACACAGATACATTTGGAAACTCTTTCAAAACTGCAAAGTTAAAACATTTTTATTTTTGTATGAACAACCAGTAAAATGCATGGTACACCATCTGCATGTTTATTTAGTTTTTTAGAAACCATGGCAGATTCTTCAAGTATATTGAGAAAGTCAAATATTACTGAGTTCGACAAGTAACTCTGCCAAGTACCCGAGTGTGCCGATTTCAATGCTAGATTCCATTTTTAAGGGCCAGGTACCCCATAAAAGTCACTTAAAAAAGAAAGAAAAAATGCTGAAGGAGTAGTTTTACTTTGTATTTGAGTTCATCAATGCAGACTTGAAAAACAACCTGCTAATTCTACATACATCACCTTCAAATCAGAAGGTACCCTGTTGGTGGCTCACCATGTTTTGATTTGCCCACAGTATCTTGCCATCAAATTACTGCAATATCCAGTATAATCGGTTTACTTGTATGTAGGGGAGCTGCTTATTAAAATCAGCATATTCCATTGCAACAATGCAATTTGTGACCTTATTTCTGTGCAGCGGCATAGGCCCACTGGGGGGGAGACCCAGGTGGGTACCAGCGTAAGACAGGGTGGCATAAAGGGTGACTCCTAATCTCCTCATCTCTTAATGCTAGAGGGCACTCTTTTTCCCACAACTTTAATCACAAGTCATTAAGAAGGGACAGTGGAATGCTTTCAGGGGGGTGGATTCGTCCCTCAGGCACCCTGTCCCCCTGGCTACACCAATACTTTGTGTTTTATTGTGCATGATACATGTATAACGATGTTACCGGGGACACAATTATTACTTTTTTCCTTTAATTTTAAGGGTATCCAGATACCTGTTCTTTATAGAAATGGGGATCCGGTCCCAAAAATATCTGTAAGTACACTTCCAACCTAGAAGTTGAGCAATTCACTTACTTCAGATTACACAGAAGTTGTTGTGTGTCGCTGACGTTCAGGCTGTCCACATACAATTGTCCCAACCCAGTATCCTGCAAGAAAAGTAACATTCACGGTACAGCCTTCCAAATTTCATATTAGTTTTTCGTAAATGAAAATGGTTTATTTTGAAAACTCTTACGTACTGTACTGAATGGCAACTACATGTCATATGTGTTACTTCATCAAATAATGTGCACAAAGGATCAAAATGGGGCAAAAGTCATTTTGTTATGAAATTTCTCACGTCGAACATTGTGATGGTAATTTCAATAATACCTTGGGGGCTGCATCCTAACTACAGTTTCTATCCCAACCATACCTGGGACAGTCCCAACTATAGTGCTACAGTTAGACTGCCCAAATGATGGTAAGCAAATTTCTATAGAAAAATTTCTCAAACCTTCTCCAAATTGATGCCAAAATATGCCAACCTAGCATCGACTGCATCATCATTGAAACTTGTACAAGTACAATTTGTTGATTTTGGCAAGTTATGGCCCACACTGGCACTCTGTGTAGTAATTCTATAGTTGGGACTGATATGACAGATGCTATATATTGGGGCGTGACAGTTTTTAGCATTACGAACAAGTTAAACCTCGAGTCTCTCAGGTCAACAAGAAGACGTTCACAAATTTAATGACTGCCAGTTTTGAAAAGGTTCCGTATACGGAAAACACTAATTTTCCCTAAAAATGTAACAACAAACTTCAGAAAGTGAGAACATACATAAAAATGAAATTTAGCTAAGAAAATTCCGGTGATTCTAACGCTGGTTTGATCCATCCATTAGGCAACTTTTGGTGTCCGTAAACCAATGACGGATCACTGATCGTGATCCAGATCAGTGTCAAACCAACACGTCATTGGACATAACTAAGCGGCAGTTGGTAAAAGTCGGAGGTAGGCCTAGCCGGAGGTAGTGGGAGGTAGCCAGAGGTGGCATTTAACATTTAGTGAAGCACTTAAATGTCTAGGCCTACTCACTCATCCTCTTGGTGAGAATCACTTTCTTATTGGGCTTGTCCTGTTTGCAGCCAAAAAGCTTCCAAAAATGATTTTCCCGCAAGTCATAATTGCCCCCTCATTATAGTGATGATGATGATACGACGCATGTACGTGTACACGACAGACATGTAAGTGCTTTACTCATTTTAAATGCTACCTCCGACAGTGTTCCTTTCTCCATGCTCCGGCTACATCCGACCATACCTACTGTCAGTAACCGTAGCATATGCCTCGGCAAGCCTGCATGATCACTGATGACTGATCACTGATATGGTCTAACGTACGTCATGCACGTAGATTCAAGTAATGAGTAAAATAAAAAATTGCATGCCGATCTGTGCTGTCGATCAAGAAATAAATTGATAGGGGTTACTCACCATCATGGCGAATTCATACATTTCTTGTCGTCCGATTTATTAAACTTTTTCTCCTTTCTCCGTAAAAACTTGATGCACTTCGTGTAGGAGGCCCTTATCGAAAGGACTATTCCGGCTGTCGATTGACCCACGGACCATTTACCTGAGTGAAAGTAGCCGCGGGTTCCTGACTATGGTGGCCGATAAACAACGTACAATACAAAAAGGAAACACTATGAAAGATGTTCTCTGTACGCCTCAAAACGATATGATATCATAAACTGTAGAGTCCATTCTGCAGAATAGGTTATTTATATAGGCCTCAATATACAAGTCACATGATCATCAGCCATTAAACATTGGTGTCTATGCATTGATTTTGAAAAAAACAAACAAAAACAAAGACACGAAGTTGACCAATACACGACCGTGAGCGAAACGTGCACGGGGTATCATCCGTCAACATTTATTACTACGCGCCGGAAACTTTACTGAACGACGACGGATTAGAATAAAAGGAATTTATTATCTTACTAATTATTTTCAATTACTTCAAAACATAATGCTATAGCCTGAAATCTAATGAAAACGGTGGCCTTCGATAAGTCTACAGCAAAGCCAGGAAAGCTTTATAAAACAACAGAACCCTGTTCAGTTTTTAAATAGTTATTCTTTATGCCTTTTATTGATGATCTCGGCGGCAATAATTTTGATTGTTCTAATCCTTTTGGACAGGACAACAAAAGTTATATTAAGATTATCGCGCGTCGGTGCCTCATCGTGTTAAAATGAGGTTTCGGTTTTGAAACAAAAGTCCAAGCTTTAGTTTGATATCAAGACCGTCAATTTATGACAATTAATGTCAGGAAAAAATGTTATTTTGGATTACGTTTTGGAGGGAATACTCTGTAATATACATCAAGGCCTAAAAAGATATTAGGCAAGGCAGTCTCCATTACAACGAAATAAAAAAGACGAATTTTCTTCGCTTGGCATAAGGTACATCATGACATTTCCCGCACAAACCACCCCCCCCAAAAAAGACTTATTGAAACTGCATTCCTGTTGGTTTCTAACTTAGTATAATAATTGCTCTTGAAAACTGGATTTCATTGTTGTGTAGCAGAGCAGCTAGGGTTCTGAACTATAGTTTTCTTTGTTTTCCAGCAGTGTTGTAGTACTTGCAGTTGTAGTACTCGTACTCCAGTCCTTTTTTCTGTACTCGTATTCTTTGTATTCGTACTCATGAATATGTACTCGTAAGCACTCGTACTCTCGAGAAAACCATTTCCCCGGTACTCATATTCGTAATCTGTACTCTTGCCAAAGTCACTAGTCGCACTCCTGGAAAAATATTCGCAGGTGTACTCATCGGAGGTTGTGGATTTAATAGCCTTTTTAACATTTATTATTTGTTGTTTATTGGCCACTATAGTCGGGAATGGCTGCAGCTTCAATCGTGCACAGTAAAATGAGGACGATACCTGGACTACTACTGAGAGCTTTGAAATTTGATTGAATAAGTTACCCGACTGTAGCTGTCATAGGCCATCGAACGAAAGGATTAATGGTACTTCGCAAACACCACCCCTCTCCATCAAAGATATCCGAAGAAACATAGGGTGATACCACAAGAGGGCGCTGTTGAACATCAACAGGTCGAGGTTACTGGCGGCCTGTTATTGACACTTGTCTTGCTCTCGCACTCGAACGACACTGTTCTCGGAACAGGCCTAGGATCATATACCTTCTCGTCAGGGTTTTACAGGAATACAGAGAAATAGTCGTGCGATTTGAAGTTTGGAACAGCCGCCAAAGCATAGCAAGATGGCTTACAAAGCCGGAAATAATGGAATGTTTTGCAAAAGTAACAAAGTAATTTTCCATATAATATGAAAGTGCCTTTTCCAATAGAGAAGAATAAGACCCAGTTATTCATAACATGTATCTACCCTCGAAGACTTGAACGCACGTCGGCACTGCCATGTTGATCTTACTTACAAACAAACTACCAGCGATAACCAATCGTACGCCCCAAATGGTTCGAGCGGCCGGCCGAGAACAACTTGAACAAATCGAGCTGTTGATGAACATTGTCTGACGGAGAACAAGCCGAACCCAAGCCGACCTAACTCAGCCTATAGTCTTGGATTGGTCTAAATTTGTCATTCATGTTTTATCTGAAATTACAGTTTAGCTGTCTGAGTGAGATGCCATTTCAAACAAACGTTGATTGAAACTTTATCACTTTCCTCGGCAGTATTCTGCACTCCTAATGCGGTATTTAAAAAAAAAATTCCCCTAGACAGAGCGGCGAAGGGGAAGAGGCCCAAAGATGTCTGAATCTGAGGGAATGCGAATGGACCTTGCATTGGGAATCACCGTCCATTCGTGAAATACAGTAATATAAACCACACAAACCACCTCAAAAGCCACAGGCAGAATTGGAAAGGAGGAGGTTGGAAAAAGAGACGGGTTAATAAAAAGGGACCATTATATCAGGCGGCAATAAAAATAAATAACTGCAGATTATTGTCGACGTGACAATTTCTCCGAGCAAAGGTACTATGGCCACTACTTTAAACCCTGTTCTCAGCAAAGCAAGGCACCAGAACACCTCAAACGCCACAGATCGATCCTAAGTGGCAGGCGTAAACTACCGGAAAAGGAACTATTTGCTCAGAAATGCAGTGTGCAGTGTGTCAGCCGAAAATTAGAAGAAGCAATACTCTTGTTTCTGTCGCTCAGAGCATCATGACCACTACCACCACCGCTGACCTAGACACCCATCGTATACGTCACAGCCAAGTCACCCAGCCGTAGCAGGAGAAACTCCCTCAAACGTCACAGGTCGTCTACTTGCGTAGAAAATACTACCTAAAACGCCACAGGTCAATTTGGATGAAGGAAGCAGGAAAATAGTGAAAAAATATATATAATTTATGGCAATGCGAGCGTTCTACTGAGAGTCTCGTTGAGGACCAACCAAACCTCGTTTCCTGTAGGTGTCCTCCTTGTGGAATCATAGCGACCTGTGGTACGTATATGAAATGGTTTTTAGATATACAACAGAATTCCACGAAATGAGTTAACCCGTCGGAAGTCAATCCACACTTCTACACGTGTAAGGCCGGGGTCAGTCTTTGTTTTGTTTTGAGTTTTAGCGCCTACGCATCCATCACGATTTTGTGACTATGCCTTGATCGCCGGTGAGGGCGCCATTATTGCAGAGTGGGCCGGTATATACGTCCGTGCCGGTACGGTATACTTGCTATCTGAGTTTCCTGTGTCGCCCTCGACCTGTCTTTGATGTTATGATGATCTCAGGCTTTCATGAATATTGCCCCGGACTATTCTCAGTCGACAGATGAACAGAGGGTTGTGTTTGCAAGGAATGTATGCAAGAACGTGAACTGTATAGCTTGCACTAAGGCCTATTTTTAGTTTGCGAGATGTACCTGTTCGCGATGGAAATAGGCGTGCCATGAATTGTCCTATTTTTGGTCAGTGATGTCCCAAGTACTTGCACAGTTTTGCTGTTCCAGTTACCCCATGCATCCAGACTAATATGATTTATAATAAGGTCACCATTAACTGGTTTTGTCTGGACCAAAGTATAATCAACATCTAATCCGAGAACAGGAATAATCAGCCTTTCATGGAATAGATCTTTTACCTTAAAACGGTGTCCTGCTTCCCCCCGGCCCTCACACACTAAGTTTTCATGATAGGGACTCATACACTCCACTCTGGAGGCAACCTGAGGTAATGACATCCAAAACGACGATCATTAACTCATAACACAAAATATCAAACTTAATGAGGAACGTTTCCAAGGAGCAGTGCTGATAATTCTAATTAGGGAATATAGTTCATCTCGTGGTCTCCTTAAAAGTTTTTAAAACCCCAGTTTTCGACCGACACAATTTCACTCTAAAATAGAAAATGACTGTATTGATAAATATCCTACCGAGTATAACAAATTAAATCGTCATTTCTTATATTTAAGCATGATAGCTAGACTTAGTATGAACAGAGCTTCCATGCACAGGCTAGGTATATTATTTGAGTTTCCAAAGAAGTGACCTGCCTAGACCAGATTTAGATCACAAAATGCATACTGCCCTCGTGCGGCATGATGCCTGTCTTTGTTCGGATCTTTTTACGTTGAGGCGTTAAAAAAATTGCTCTGAGGATCGGCTCCCAGGCAACTACATATCTTACTATAATTCAAAGCAAACATCTGATTGCTGCAGACGACGTAAGGAAGCCCGACTAAGAACTTGGTTAAAAGGTCAATGACCGCCCTCCAAGTCTATACAACAGAGGGCGCTCGTTAGTTTCCTCGTCCAAATTAACTTGGGCGGAGGCGCTCAAAGAAGTAACCCTACACTTTTTTAGAGGAATTTGTGCGGCCCAAGAAATTACGAGTTTTTGTAAGTATGGTCCAGGATCAACTCCCTAGATTTGAAGGCTCCCATCCCGGGCAACGCAGACAAAAATGTTATTGATAAACTGTCAGATGACCCTGCGAATTTGAGTTGAATGTGGTCCTATATTTGAAAAGTGCCCGCTGACTTGGGAATGTTCACTTTTAAATAAAAATCTAATTGGTTAAGTAACCTTCTAAAATTTGAAATCATTTAAACTTGAACGACCTGTCAACTTGTTTTTTGTTTGAGAAGCCTCGGACTTCAGTTGCCCGCAATGAGGCACCGAATTTTGATTTGCACTGTTTTAATGGGGCTTGAATAAGTGTAGTGCGCCGAGCGGGAAAAAAAAGTCAAATCGGCCTATGCAAAGAATTTCAAGTCAGACACGATCATAGTCGCAAGACGACAGGAATTAGAAACTTAACACATTCAAGACGGAAGTCTTCGATATCAAAGCAAAAATCATTATTCCCCAACCTGCCACAGCTTATCAAATTAGTCACTATGTTGGTTCACTTAAACCCAGTGTTACACAGAAATTGAAGGAATGGGGCAGTGTCGCGGTAAATTCATTCCCAAGGAATAGTCCCAGTTTGCGGTGAGACTATTAGTAGTATATGTATTACAGAACATAAGACATGGTAAGAAAAGAGAACATGTAACAAAGAGATAGTTTGAGTAAGAGACGTTACTGAGAATTTATTGGCTACACCCTAAATGGGGCACTGCTATTTAAAGATCAAAGACGAGAGACTACAGGCTGAATTATACAAAAATAAACATCTCCCCCATTCATGATTTCGTGATCTCATTTATCATCCTGCAAGAGGCTTCCTTTGTAAACTACAAACTGCATCCATATAACTGCCAAGACCAATTCTTAACATGCTCGTAAGAGATTTACTTAGGCTACTAATAAGTACTATAGAATTCATTCCTTGCAAACAAATTGAAACAGCATAATGGCACACACAGAAGTACTCAATCAATGCTGACCTTTTCAAACTTAGTATTGGTTTTCCGGTTTATTTTGCCCCTCTTTCATTCAAAAGTGATTAATTTGAAAGAAGTGCAAGTTCATCAAAGAGGTCAGTCGCCCCATCATTCGACTTTGACTCACAGATTACAAATATTCAGTGCTTGGAAATGAAAAAAGGCCTAAAATGGTGAGAACAAGACTTAAAAAAAAATTTCACAACTACAAGCCCACGTGAAGCTACTTGACTAATTTTGGTCTTCACCAAAGTGGACATTTCATAAAAAACGTAAACAGTAAGAAAGTAAATATAATAGTAACATTGTTTTTGACAGGACCATTGTTTCAATTACAATTGCTTTGTTTTCAAGGAAGTTTTATGCGGAAGACATCCTGATTTGTAATACGTCTGGTAGGATTACATAAGAATGTTGACACCCATCACCGGAAAATTTAATTAGTAGATTATGCACCTAACAATAACATGATATAATCAATCACAACATTCTTGCCCCTACTACATCTAGCTTACGTCATTTTGAAACTTCCAAACTTCAGCCAATGCTTTTAAAAAATAACATGGTTACAAATTCAACATGGGAAATAAAATAGATAAATATGCATTGAACCTGGTATGTAAACTGTCTGAGGAAAGCTGTAGTATGTGATTATGGAGATCTATTGGAGACCATTCAGGTTTAGGGCAGAGTTTTCAAGGACCAAAACTGCCAACCTCCAATCAAATCTTAAAATAGGGTTTTATGCTTTTTGGCAGCTTTTTGAATAATTCCAATCAAGCTGCTTTGTGTGTAGGTGTCATGACTTGAGTTGTGTTGCCATGGAGATGTCATCAGTTAATGTGTTCATCCAGCGTGTTCTCCAGCCACACCACAGCATCCATGACCTTTGCTTGGTTGGTGCCCCTGGACTGGCCAAATATCAAGAAATAAAAAAAACCCATTCACTACAACAATTTGAAGCTATTGTAAATACTTTTCAATTTACAGAAGAGGCGCAATACTCTTGCAAGATACCAAACTTTCTCATTCATATTTTCCTCTTGTTTTAAAATAGAGGCTCCATTTTTGGCCAAGACACTTTTGTCAAGGGTAGAATGGATTTTCTGCTATATTTTGCTGATATAGTATCCAAATGAAGGGATTTCACCCATTGAACAGTTATTTCAACATATGTTGCTTGAAGAAAGTTAAAGAGTGAACAAGAGCCCCCCCCCCAAAAAAAGACGGGCACTGAGGGTGAAAGGAATCCAGGGGGTTAGCAGGTTTTTTTCTGTCTGTCTAATAGTCCTTATTTACACTCCAGCAATGCAAAAACCTCGCATACCACTTAACCACTCGGGAAGCTTTTGCCCTCGGTGTTACCATGGTGACCACAGTCCTCATGGGTCAGTGAATGTGTCTGGCCTCTTGGTGCTTTATCCATCAAGGGAGCTGTCTCAAAGCCAACAGTCTTCTGTCATCTTCCTTAAAACAGTGACCTTCAAAAAGCCAACAGTCTTCTGTCATCTTCCTTAAAAACAGTGACCTTCAAAAAGACAAACTCTTCAAAATCTGCAGAACAAATGCACTTGTCTGATTGGGCAGGATTCTGATGAAGAGCTTAGTTTGCAAGGGCATAAATTTGGATCTTTATCTGTTTGCCTTTTTAGCAAGTTGTTAATTAAAACTGATACTTCAATTTTAAATGAATGTAAAATTGCTTGCCCCTTGAAAATTGCTTATTTTTCAGGGTGCACAAGTATTTGGTAAACATTGCCAATGCAAAATGAGACTGATGAAGATTTTCAGTTTAAGTTTTGGACATGTAGGGGAAAAGTTGTTCAAAATGCAAGGCAAAAGTGAGCCCACAGTCAACAAAACGAGAGCAGTTTGAGGCATAATTGAGGTTTTTTGGGGGGGGGATGGGGGAGCAGGATGCCATCAATGCATCTATTGCTGATGTGATCTAGTTGCATGTCACAATGGCAACATACCAGTATGCAGGATTTAACCATCACGTCCGTACTCCCTCGTGTATCACCTCAGAGTTCATTACCTGTCATAATGCAAAAGAAAAAAGAAACTATTATTAAAAGTGAAACGCATTTTAATATTATCACATTTTCTTGTACAGACTTGACTTTGGTTTTACATAAGGTAGAAACTACATTTTGAGAAAAAAATCTTAGGTATTTTCCCCCACATAAACTGAAATTTTTTGAACTTTTCAAATCAGTTTAGAACTTTTCAGTCGACAGCCTCATGCAACGAGGCGAACAGTACATGGTGTTGAAGTGTGATGATGAACAAATGCCACTTCCACATTGTGAACTTTATTCCAACTCTGGAATGGAGTCTTTCTTTAAAAAAAAAGAGAATTCTTGAAAAGCATGGGAATCAACAAAGTTGTCTCGATAAATTATGTTAATACATGCTCACCATTGAAGCTGCAGTAAANAGGAAAAAACCTATAGTGAAACATTTAAGTTTCACTACTAACAAAAAAGACCCTGAGGAAGTTACGTATGCCCTAAAAGATGACCTTTGCTGGTGGAGCCTTGCTGCAGGGACAGATCCAGGGGCAAGTTCCCTACATAACCTTACACTACACTAATATTTCCCAGAGGACCATCAATTTGTAAATTCCTTTTCATACCCCATTGAGATATTTGATGTTGCCTTGGCAATCATTGTATTTCTTTTCTCTCTCCAAAAGAGATATATAGTATATGATGCTTCAGATAATTTTAACATGTAAGCTCCCCAAGGAGCAGAGTTATAGTTCTCTCTCCAAGAGAGATATATGGCATATGATGCTTCAGATAATTTGAACATGCAAGCTCCCCAAGGAGCCGAGTTATAGTTGTCCTAAGTTCTCTCTCCAAGAGAGATATATGGCATATGATGCTCCCCAAGGAGCAGAGTTATAGTTCTCTCTCCAAGAGAGATATATGGTATATGATAAATCAGATAATTTTAACATGCAAGCTCCCCAAGGAGCGGAGTTG